TGGGCTCCTGGTGACACAAAGCTCCATCCATGGTAAACTCAACAATTCTGCTTACCCCAGATAATAAGCTTTCACTTAACTACGTAAATGATTATGATTTATGTAATTTTACACGTACTGCACTGAATTCTGTCACCTAAGTTCTTTAGGAGTACCCATTACCTATCTCGAAATGGAACCAGATGGTCAGAGTTCAGATATAGCTCAAATGGCGATATTTTCCCAAGAATTATGCAATTTAATTAGTAAATACAGAGTATCTTCAAGGTTGACCTGCGTTATAAATTAATTCGAAAGGAAAAAACATTAAAAACGCATTAGTGGCGAGATATTGTTCTTTTTTTCTAGGTATCCAATGTCAAAATTTCGAAACATTTTGTATACTACATGCCGTCTTATAAACTCTCAGCTCATGCGTAATACATTTCTTGTATTTTACATTTCCTTATAATAATAGTTTGAGAAAAAGAACATCCTTGGCTCGCAAATTCTGTACTTATTACTTGTAAACCACTATTATTTGAGGGGTTTCTCCTGCGTTCTAGTTCACCCTGTGCCCTCTTACGATTAGGACGATGATGGTACCATCCTGTTGAAACCAATGGTATCCAACTTTTGTTTGTTGTGCGTGCTGTATATCGTTGCATCAAAGTGGATTAAGTTAGCACCAGGCCACCAGGGTTAGCACCCCTAAATCGTCACCCAAATTTGTTAAAACATGGGACTGTTTCTAGAATTTTAAATATTCCTATCGAAAATGGCATTATTGTCAAAGGCGAGAAACAAAATGCTTTTATGCTGTATTGTAAAATAAAGAAAACAGAGGGCGTTAAATGTTGCCGCATTTCACAAAAAAATTAATGCCAGTTGTCATAAACTGATATTGATTTCGACGTTTGAATCTGCTTTTTGTCTTACTAGTCATGGCTTAACATGATTTTGATAAGTGGATTTATTGCCGAATTTTTGATAAAATAGTGAGAAATACACCTGAAAATGAACTATCCGTATTAGACGAGGAAAATTTTTTTTTCGATTGGTGTCATAAACCCTCTAAGTTAACATGGGGAGCAACTATCTACAAAAAAACTTTTTCCCATGCTAATTCCTCACGTTCGGTGGGAATATTCCCCCGGTATGCGTTTTCATTGTTACTCTCCAAATCAGTTTAATTATAACCAGAGAAATTAGAAAGATTTTGCCCGAAAGTTGTAAATTTGTGCCAACAATTCGTATCGAATTTGCAATAATAATTGCATCATTATTTGCAACATTATAAACATAAATACATACACCTGCCACACATTTAGTCAGTATCTGCAAAGAGGGTGTTTTTCAAACGGTGTCTTCCCGAAAGAACTTACGCTGTCAACCGTGCATCCCGTTCACAAAAAAGGTTGCTCTCAAGATTGCTCGAATTATAGACCAATTTCTGTTAGCTCGGTGCTGTCGAAAGTCTTTGAATACGCCATGTTAGAGAGGCTAAATATAACATTGTAAGTAATAAACAACACTGGTTCTGCAATGGGAAATCGGCAATTACTGCCATTAACTCATTTGTTAACGACATCATTTCACTTCTTGATAAAAAGCAGAATGTCCTTGCTATACCTATTTTGTGACCTCAGCAGGGCTTTTGATACTGAAAATCATTTGTACTGTTGCAAAACTTAAATACTTACGATATCAGAGGCGTTGTTGCTAATTGGTTTTCATCATATCTCTCTGGAAGGTGTCAACAAGTAGAAATTAAATTTAAAACCGGTTCCACTATTGCAAACTTTTTATCCACAGCTTTGCCTGTTAATATGGGAGTTCGACAAGGATCTGTTTTAGGACCTATTTGATTTTTATTATTTATTTATGATATTCAGTCCAATTCTGTAACTAACAAGTTTGCAATATTACTAACTATAGCAAGATTGCCCACACAAAATTCTAGCAATATTATGAGCAATCCGAGGAGCAATCTAACAAATGTGTCATTCTTTAACTACCAACTTGAGCAATATTGCTCTACAGTTCGTCAAATTGCTACCAACTAGTGATAACTTAGTAACAGAGTGTTGTCACTGGATCTAAAATTAAACGCATTAGGCCCAAATGAAATATCGGTTCCGGTTCTGTGTATATTTAAGCGAAAATATTTTTAACGTTTCCGGTTCGCTTTAGGTTCTAAAAAAACGGTTCGGTTTTGATCATTTTTTCGGTCTATAACGGTTCTTTTCGGTTTTAGTCTTTTAGAAAGTATGGCATTCAAAAAATTCATTATAACAACGTTATATGTTAATTAATAGGTGTGAAAAAGAAGTAAAAAGTCACGAGTACTAAAACGTCACGTATCGTCAGTGTAGGTAGCTAATTTACAACAAGGGGAATAATGGAGGAAGAGAGTTAAATATGTACTTAAACTAAATTTATTAATAAAAAACAGAAAAAATACACAAAAACTTACGTTAAAAAAAATCATGTAGTATAGAGTATTGTTTTTTATTTTTATTTTCTAAAACCTCGACCCTCCTTTTATCACACTAGTGGTATTGAATAAGTAAATAAATTACTTATTCAATGGTAGTGGCTATTACCGCCACCGCCACCCGTACTGCCTTCAATTTCGACACCTTATTAAACTTTTATAATCCACGGATGGCAATCATTTATCAATTTTCAAGACGTGTTTGCCGGCGCCTCCTGCAACTTCCAATAACCTGTTAAGAACCGTGAAAAACTGAAAAGAACAAAAAAAATTACGCAGTTTCCATTTCTAGGGTTTTCGCCCTAAGACGAGTAACTTTAGCGCATTTTCCATGTATTGATCAGTAGTTCCCAAAAGGTCATCCTACTTCGTTGGAAAATGCGCTAAAATTGTTAGTTCAAGAAAAAACTGCTCCAAACGATATTAAAAAAATAGATGCGCGTGAAATACACTTGCTAAGACTTAACAACAGCAACAGCACATTGCTAAGCTGTCAGTACAGAATACCACCTTTAAAAATGTTGCTTATTTAGCAATTACCTTCACTATTATAGTAAGTTGCTAAGGTTATTTAAAGTTGCAGAATTGAACTGAATGTCATGTTTTTAAATTGCTTGGTTTTATATGCGGATGATACGACGGCATTAATATCCGGAAAAAAGCAAGAAAATATATATCCAAAAGCTGTTGAGATTCTAAATAAGCTAAGTAATTGGTTTAATTTTAACAAATTATTCTTAAATCAAGATAAAACGTTTTTCCTACCGTTTACAACTTTTGTCTGACTCAAAATAAAAACATTAATATTCTAGGCACTGGGAAGTTTGTGGGGATCTATTTAGATCAAAACTTAAATTGGAAATGTCATTGCGAAAATCTTATTATAAAAAATTATCTTAAAGAATTAATGGATGTGGACCATACTTTAAATTATTACTATGCTCAAATTTAATCCAGACTGTTGTATGGAATAATTGGGGTTCGTCAAGCGCGGCAAAAAATGTGTTTCTGGTACAAAAACGAATAGTCAGATGTATTGCGAGTCGTAAGAAATATGATTCGTATCGTCCGATATTTAAAAAAGAACTAGTAGCGTCTCAACGAACGAGCGAAAGGACGGACGGACAAAGTGGCCACAATAGCGCATTTTTTTAAATTTTTGTGGAAATGCGCTAAAAATTGAATATTCTTACACTTTCATCACTCTATATACTTGAATTGTTAACTTTTATTTTCCATAACCAGCAACATTTCTTACGTCATAGCAGTTTTCATAATTACAACACGCGCAAGAAACAACAATTTATCACCCCTTTAACAAGACTTAAACTTGCCCATAATTCTCCCACCTGAATAGGCATTAAATTATTTAATGCGCTTCCAAAAGTACACTTAGAAGTCAGGGAACAACAAAGTGCTTTAAAACTTCTTTAAAAAAATTTCTTCTAGTCAATGCACCATATACAATTGATGAATTTCTGAATTGTATTGATAAAAATTGCGGATCTCTAGTGTAATTTATATTGCATTCTTTCTTTTTTATCCATTGTGTTCTGTTGACCAACATTTTTAAATTGTATTTAATTGTAGGTATTTATTTTGTGTTTCTGACGCACCCTATAGAATTCAATATTTGTCTTGGGAATTAATACATATTATTATTATTATTAATATTAAAAAAAGATGAGTACGATGAGTTGAGTTTAATATGACGGATGTGGATAATGGAAAATATTCTTCTCGCGTTTGATCAGAAACTTTAATGCTTCCTTTCCAGCATGTACCATCTGGCAAGATAAGAGTAAAACGAGGGTAAAACCTACCATAAAATGTTGGAGGGAAACATTTATGGCTGATCAGAAAGCGGCCCTTACATCCATTAAAAAGTGAAAATAAAAAATATATCCCAGAATAAAGGAAATTTGCCCATTTTTGAACAGTTTTCACTTTCGATAATCGCAGCGTAATTTTAATTAATAAATAGGCACTACAACAAATGAATTACAATTTTATGGTTCACCATTGTAAACTATGTAAACATTTAAATAAATATTATCAACTGAACCAGACTTCATGATCGATTTTAAGGTCAGATTGTTTTATCGAAGGACTACCTACTTATGAAATAGTAGGTTTGTACCGTTTAAATGTAATGTGCGCATTACAAGGCTAAAAACCAATAACAGTAGATTAAGGAGATGACGAAAAGTTTTTAACATGTCACAAGAAATACGTATCGATTAAATTCTTGTCTATTAAAACTCAATAATTACGACGGAACTTGTCACTCAAACTCTATTTCACCTTATAAACAATACAAAAAATCGATGAAAAAAACCAAACGTAATTATATTATAATACCTACCAAAAAACACGCCAATGTACGTACTATTAGATTTATGAGAACTTTTATATCATTTTGGAGTTAACATTAATCACAATAACTGCTTTGCATTGCAAATCATCCATCATGCCCGTTTATAAGTGCTGCTTCGGTGACCACTAATTTATAGCTTTCCTACAGACCAACAGTACCAGTACTTACCATGTGGAGGCTTTTGGTTCTGTTACCCCTTTTACTTCCTACAGCCTCTGCAACGAAGCAGGTAAGGTTTGTTTACGTTAACTGCAGACAATTTAATTTTGATTGTAGCTACCAGAACTGTTTATGACAACATTTACCACCCTACTCCAGCGCCATTATGACGACTGTGTCCACGAGATCGGTATAGGTCCTGAGGTACCGTCAAAAATCTTTGCGGACTTAAACTGGCCCAAGGATCCGAAACTTAAGTGCTTCTTCAAATGTATTCATGATCATTTAGAGTTCTCGTCTAATGGCATATTTGATCACGATCGTATATTACTAGATCTAAAGATGCCGGACGATAAGTTGATAAACGATTGTTTGGAAAAAACCTATAAAGCTGATGATTTCTGTGAGAGGGCATTCATAATGACAAAGTGTATAGCGGTAGGTGCCGCAGTAGACGTCTAAATAGACCTAAATAGACCTAAAATATTTATGAAAGAAAAATTTATTTTTTGTACCTTGTGCATCAGGGCTGATTAATTGTATTTTATTTTTTTTGTTTGGAGATAGTTGGTAGTGGATAGTACTATATTAAAGCTTCTCACCACTCACAGAGTTTTGTGTAATATTTAACTTGATATGACTAACACAATTTCGGTAATCGATATGAGAAAACATTTATACCTTCACAATTTCGGTAATTTAAGGTAATTTTCCTTGATTAAATGTTACTGCTGTAATGCAGGTATTTAATAACTACCTACATGAAAAATTATGTGAGTCAATTTAAAAAGAGGATTATGAGTGATAATGCTGGCCTCTGTTTTAGGTTTAAATATTGTATCCATTCAGCTTACTTTTCACAATAGAAAAAACTAGAGATGTAGGTGCCGTTTCGAAAGAATTTTAAATACAGTGACGTTGTAAAGACAGTGTGTTATTTTCTATTGGTAGTGTTTTAATCAAGTACACCGGATTGGTAGAGATTAACCTGGAAAACCAAGATCACTTGCTGGAAACAATGGTGACAAAAATATTGTAACCATAGAAAAATCTCCACTCAGTTAAACCTTTCAGCTCAATGATAAATTTGGAAAAACCTGGCGGACATGTGGAATATGGCCACACTGTCTTTAGTCCTTGCGTCATGTTTTCACCGACTAGTATTTTGTATGATACTACTTGTCATGATCCACTTTGACATGATATGTAAAAGTGATGCAATTTCTGAGATCTGGTAAGGTTTGTTTATTACGAAACCATAACTTCAAGTGTTGCACAACATTTTGTCCATTTCCAGAAAATCAAAGCAGGAAAACATTTATTGGATTCGATTCTATGTATTGTATAAAAGTTTAGTAAAGGTGGATAATGTGTTTGGGCCTTTCGGCAAAAGTATCAACAGATGACTCAATTGCAAACCTCTTGCATTATGGATGTGCATCTAAGTTTACTGAACTTATGCAAAGTGCTTTAATTAATAATGTATGAATTTGCACAGACGAAATTCTAATTTCAAATATGGGTATCACAATAGGAGTAAGTATGTAAATCGAAACCTTCTATGGAATAAGTAAGATATTTTCAAATGAAGAGCATCTACAGTCAATTAAAAAGCAGGCAACCCTGCGTTAGAAGCTCCCTGTGAAAGGCGCTATTATAATAACAAGGCAATTAGAACTTCGCTTGAAGAATCACTAATTCCCACAAATATTCAAGCAGCAGTGTTTGTCATATCAGAAAATGATTTTAATTACTATTCTTCGAATACTTCACATAGTAGTATTAATGTGTTACCAGTTTCTAACCTTGATCCTATTGAATTATGTGCGAACGGCTACTGTAATTTAAAATTCATCAACTGTTGAAGTTTGAGAAATTTTAATATTCTTTATAAGAAGTTAATAAAACAGTACATTATACCAAGGGACTAAGAGTATGTTGTATTATATAATAGAGATAAAGAATCGTTTTTATTTCGCGAGGGGCGGCTGTAACGGCTTAGTTACATTTACAGGGGCTGGAAACCCCACTCGTAGAAAATGAATTTTAATCTCTACGGCACTGGTAAAATGTTTACTGTAACAATCAATTTCTTATAATGAAATATTTAATACCGCGGCGGCTAGCTCAGTAATGAATAAACTTTTAATGACTCTTACCTTACGGAAGGTTGGCTCTTTATCTTCACTTTTAATCTGATAATTAAAACCTTATTCTCTGTTTGATCACTCTCAAATAAATGATCATGTAAATTGACTTGTTTGCGTATATTGGTACAATTAAAATCGTTCCAACATTTACATTTTTCGTACTTTAAAATATTAATGTAATTTATTCAACGAATATAAATTTAAATTTCAAGTCTATCTCGGGATCACGACCAAACCCAATTAATTATCTAGATTTTTTACTATTTGTAATTAGTGATTAAACGAGTAGATAAAATACAAGCGTAGATGAATATCAAATTCACTTTTCAAATTGACGTACATTATTTTTATCTCAGAACATTGAAAAGACCACTACTTGTATTAAATAAATGTGATTCTTGTTAAATTTACGTTTTAACACTCCCCTTAATTTTAATGAATCAAATAACCATGCACTGAACACTAATTACTTAATGTCTTTTTGTGGTTGACAAAATCTCTATCAAATGAGCCTAATAAAAGTGTACATTACTATTTAAAAAATTCCATTATTTCTTATTATGCATTTGTTTTCGGAAATAAAAACCATGGAACGCTGCCTTATTATGGTAAATACAATTTTACACAAATTTCATATAGAACAATTTTGTATACAGGGTGGTGCCTAGCGCAACGCAGCATAGGGATTTCAATGGTAATTTCTTTATAGTCAATTACTAGCTCCCCTAATTATTTTAGAGCAAAAGTCTAAATACGTTTTTTTTAGAGAAACAAATACTGCATCTGTTCATACTTTTAGTTATAATTTTCCATTTTTCAAAACCGTAGAAATCGACAAAATAAAAAATTACATTTTTATAAATCAGTGATGCTTTGGAATCTTTTAACAAACTACAAGCGCATCGCATCTAAGTTATCGTTGTTTGACGCCGAACGATTTTCATATTTAATTCTGTTTCAACTAACCGACTCAATAAAAGGCATCTTAGGGTAATGTTTTTTTAGAGAATGTATGCTGCATCTGCATCAGATTTTGGTACTTTCAAAGCAAGCAAAAAATATCATACATTTTTTTCATAAATCAATATTTAAAAAAAAATTCCCTCTTGTATACCCCATCGCTTTACACACTGTATACTATATTCCATACATAATGGACACCCTGTATAGGCTACCAAGCGAATAGACAACGAAAAACGTCTGTCAATGTGCTAGCGCCCTATTATTTTTCTCTCCAATGTTATTTAAAAATTGATGGCAGATGCGAGGGCAGATGGTTATTAATAAACTTTTGTTCTCACTGTTGTTTATTGTGCTGTCAAAATTTAAAAAATAAATGAAAAGAGAACACTTAACAGACGTATGAATACGTTTATACGCTAGTTCTAAGCCATGTAGGTAACGAGAAAGTTGCGCGGACAGACATTCAACTTTACTTTTCTGTGCTCAAATTCAAAGTCGAATTGTGCTACTTTGACTGACGAGCGAGACAATTACAAAATGTTTGGTAAAGTCAGGAGATCTAAGAATTTGGGAGATAACTAACAATTTTTTTAATAAATTAAACAACCTTACGGAATCTTCGTTCCAGGCACGGTGTAAGAATATACCTTATATCGTGGTTTTAGCCGATAATAATTAGGTTTTTACATTATATCAGGTGTTTCATAAAAAAATTGTTGGTCCGATGTACTAGAGTCTAGGATTTTCGATGAATACAGTCATATCATGAGTTTTAACGTCAAATTTATATCACTCCCACAAAGATTGTCACGACATTTTTGACAAAATCATGAACACAAAAAAACCAAACGAAGTCCTTTTTTTTCTCTTGATCGAAATGCTTCCTTATAATTAACAATAGTATTACAAAAAAATCTTAAACTAAATGCTAGTATTATGTACAAAAAATAATTAAAATCAAAGCAGTATATGAAAAAGAAATTATGGAAGCATTCGAGGTAAGTACCTACGTAATGGATTTTCTAAAATTTGATGTGCATAGGTAAAGTTCAACAGATAGCTGGACAGCGCTTGTTTTGTGAAGGTAGGTATGATTGATAATGATTGGACGTATCTCTGACCTTTTGTCTTTACAGCTCCAACCTCTCAACATGTGAAATTCCTCTGGCTATAAAAGATGTACATCAGGATTGGAGGGATGCTAATAGATGGCAACAATGTAGGCTCCTGACTGGGAGATAATAGTTCTGACTTCTGAACGTTACTTTCGATTTTTTTATATCGAAATAAGAAAATCGGGAAATAGCTAAAATAGTACTTTCAATAGAAACTTTGTTGCTTACATTTTTTTTACTTACGGCTATGTTCAACCCTATTTCATCTTGTGGAAAAAATTCCACTAGTGACAAAATTCAAATTATAAAAAACTGGAACGCTTCTGAAACGGATTACATTTAAATTACTTATTACTTAGAATTAATTTACTTACGCTCAGAAGTCAGACTAATACTTCCCATCTTGTTCCTTATATATATTAATGATCTTCCCCATTGTGACCTATACACCGACCACATTATGTTTGCTGATGACACTTCTCTTATTAAACAATTTGATAGTGAAGAAGAAATCAATGAGTGCATGAAGTTAGCTATAGGAAGAGTTGATAAATGGGTAAAATCAAACAACACAGCGCTTTAAATGCATCAAAGACACAAACCATGACACTAACGCTAAGGAAACAAAAATTCATTAATCAAAATTCAGATTTTAGGATATTGGGAGTAACGTTAGATCCACATCTGACTTGGAACAGACATGTAGCTATTCAAAGTGCTAAATTATCTAAAGCTATATTTGTTATCAGGAATCTTAAAAGAGTTGCTTCAATGGAAACTGTAATTACAGCCTATTATGGCATTTTTCATTCAATTTTATCATATGCAATTCTTGCATGGGGCCATTCGAAACATGCAAATACTTTATTTGCCTTACAACGGAAGTGTATCCGAATAATAAAAAATATCAAGTACAGAGAGTGCTGTAGGAGTGGTTTTGTTGAGCTAGGTATCTTGACACTCCCTTGTACATATATACTTCAATGCCTACTCTATATTAAAGAGAACATAGTTTCACAAACTGTAAAACAGGATTTGCATAGTTATAACACAAGGAACAAAGAACACATTTACATAACTTTTCATAGGCTCAATAAAACAAAGGATGGCGTATCATATTATGGGATGAAGTTTAATAATGCATTACCCACGAAAACTAAAAACTTAGATTCACTATCATTCAAAGCTAGTGTAAAGGAATATTTAAAACGTCGAGCATTCTACTCACTACTAATTTTTGAACAATAGTTTCAATGACTTAGATTGCTAGCTCTGTTTGTGAAGATGTTGCGATTTTGTTGTCTAAATGTATATTTATTTTGTCCTTTGTCATTTTACCTAATTGTCATCTTGTCTAAGAAAATAGGTTTTAAATTTATATTGTATTGGTAGATAATTTATGGTCAATTATGTCTGTGAAAAAATGACGTGTGAAAATACTTGTAAGTATAAACGTTGTTTACTCTATGGTATAAATCACCAATAAAGCATACATACATACATACATAAACAATTGATCCGTCAATTGACGACAATTAATTTAAATTATATCGCATACGCAATACAATAACGACAAAAATATGTTTAAATTGTTATAAATTTCCCACATAAAATAATGTTTATAACAAATAACAAGAATAAACCTAGTAATGCCATCTATATTGTATGCGTCCATTCTTGTAAGGGAAAACTGTACAGTAATCCGTTACAAGATCGACCTGCTTTTATCACTACTTATCAATCATGAAGACATAGCCTATAGAATTCTTCTCACGCACGATAACCTAACTTCTTTCACTGCAAGAAGATGGGCCACATTGCTCGTAACTGTCCACAACTTACGCAACTGTCTGAAATTACCCAATTGAATTAGATAAATTAAGATTACTTGAAAATACCATTGGTAGTAACGACATTCCAATCGAAGCCCAACAATAGACTTACTAATCCGAACGTGGTACAATACATATACAGGGTGATTCCTATAGTACCTGCCACCGTTTGGGAGCGTATAGGGGGTGCCTAGGGGAGTATTTTGATATAGGACACTTGGGGTCGGAAATCCAAAATAAGGGCGCCAGAACCAAATTTATCTTCTGGAATTTCACGCCTGTATGTAGGCAACCCAACCGACCGACGTTTCGCGCGGAGCGATACAGAGCGAGTTAGCGCGAGGAAGCGACATGGGAGGGAAGGAGGGAAAACGACAGTCAAAAGCAATAACGTTTACAAGTGTTCAACGTGGCCACCGTTGTTCTCAATGCACTTCCTACATCTAGCCAACTATTATTATACTATTGCCATAGTGTTTATTCACTTGATACGCGTCGTTGCAGACGGGATTTCGTGGGTTTAAACAAAATTCTGATCAAGTGTCAGCCACACATCGCCGCCTGAGATCGCTCCGTGTGCACCGCCGGCCGGTTGGGTTGCCTACCTACAGGCGCGAAATTCCAGAAGGTAAATTTGGCTCTGGCACCCTTATTTTAGATTTCCGACCCCAAGTGTCCTATATCAAAATACTCCCCTACGCACCACCTACACGCTCCCAAACGGTGGCAGGTACTATAGGAATCACCCTGTATACAATAGATTTAGGTAGTGACTCCAACGATTCTGCTCAAGAGCCCCCATAAACTTCTTTACATAAAAAATGGTTTAAAATTTAGTACATATCAAACAAGTGTGGATTAAACTTGATTTGGGTAAGAAAAAAATTAGTTTAGGGGTGTGCTACAATTCCAATAGGTCTTTGTATAGAAGTTTTTTGGTATGAATTTCTAATTCATTACGTTAAGTCGATTATGTAATTTTTGTCAGCGATCTGAACGTCAATCTTTTAGAGATGACTATAATGATATCGAATTTGATTAAATATATCTGATAGCCCCGGATTGGAACAAATTATTAATCAACTAACAAGAGTGACTCCTGATGTAGTAATTGAGAAATTAGCGACTATGAGCTAATTTATTGTCGATTTAATTATGCAGTACCAAAAACAAGCACTTACAAAACTATGCGAAATTTTAGCTGTTTTGATTATCTTACATTTAAAAACCATCTTCTGTTCATGCCCTGGAAGAACTTTATTGACTTATTAATTAATCTATGGGTAGTTATGTATTAAAAAGTTTAAAAACTAGAATATTGTTACAGAATATGTAAAAACATATGTTCTATTTAAAAATCTTGTTGGGTTTTAATAAAAAAAATTAATTTAATAGAGTCTGACGTACAAATCCTATTAAAAAAACAAAATAGGTATTTATGACTCAAGGCCATTAAAGCGATATTTATACTGAGGATCGTATGTCGCCCAAGGGTTAAATATCGAGTAATGCTTGAGGTGCATACAACATTTTATTTTTCATCGTTCCAAATAATGCATTTCAATGATACAAATGTATCGATTATTGTTTGCCCAACATTAAAGTGCTTCATACGAATCAAGTAGCATCTTTTTTTATTACATAATATAACTCCTTCAATATATTTGACAGGCCGTTTGAGGGCATAATGAGATGAGGAGATGACAATCCATTATGCCCTCGGGCGTCATAGACTATATCTCATATGATAGATATAATTGACATATAATAGGCAAATGAAAAATAAACAAATAAATTTATGCGGACATGCTATATTTATGTGCCTGTAAACTGTGGGAAGGTTGTCTAAATTTTGACTTTTTTAGACACTATCCATATTAGATAGTGACGCAAGTAATATTAATATTATGAAAATCTTATGATACTTAAAGCTCCTTTTGACGAATGTCGGTCCATTCTTTATTGGTTTAAACGCAAATTTTGTACCTTGCAGATAAGAAACTTTGTATAAAACCAGATTACGATTTTCAAATAGTCTTTGAATTGGCGAAAGACTTGGCACACTTTAAAATTCGTCATATAGCTGTGCTTATAAGTATATTATCCATAGAATTACCAACAACTATTCTATGATATTATCAAATGGTTAATTAGTACATGAACATCGATATGTTTGTAGCAATACGTCCGCGTAAAGGTATGGCAGAACTGATAGTATTATTCATACTGTTAACTCCAACATTGTGTCAAAAACAGGTAAGAATTTTTTTAAATAAAATACTTAGTGTAAATTTCGTATTAGTTACCACCCGACGCGGTCAAGGCGTGGGATAGCATAGCGATGATCTACAACGATATCTGCATACAGGAAACTAACATAGATCCAAGAGTGCCTGAAATAATGTTTAAGGAATTGCCCATGCCCGAGGAAAAGGAGTTTCACTGTTACCTTAAGTGTTCTCAGGAACGACTAGGGTTTATGTCGCCTAGTGGGGAATTTAATATCGCAGTAATCTTGGATCAAGTTCATTTCATGACTGAGGAACTTGTGACTCGATGTGCTGAAGTATCCTATCAAGAACTTGAGCTTTGCAAAAGGTCCTACGCGCTTTTTAAGTGTCTCGTTCTTGGTGTTGCCGAATAGCTGTGGTCTTTCCTATTAACGGACTAGACAGAGTTGTTGCAAGAGTGAGGTGCCGGTATTCACGTTGTTTTTTCATAAAAAATCATTTGTAGAACAATTTGATGTATATAATATATGTTTATTATAAATTTATTGTATATTGGTCTACTTCTTAGATTGGAAGATGGTGTGGTACCGCATTTCAGTGTAAAGGCCTGCGTGTTAGGACTTTGGTTAAAATGGATCACTGCCTGTTAATTCGATCAAAACTTACGTCACTGTTCTGCACGGAAGCTGTATCAATGGCATGTCATATTAGGAACAGATGTCCTACGAAGAAATTTCAAAGAAACACCTCGCACAAGTTCTGGAAAGTGGAAGGATATAGTATCAAAACTGTCGTCTCGAGTTCTGAAGCTCATACACTCATACACTAGTCAACAATTCAAAAATACAAGCCGCTTAAAGCATATTGATGTAAAGCATTTCTTTGTACGAGAACTGATTGAGAAGAGCTGTATCAAGATCCATTACGTTCGGCGTTCCATCAGCGGAGCAGCAGGCGGACATCTTGGCCAAAAGTCTTTTTATCCCCGCGTTCAGAAAGTTGAGTGCCAGTTTTGCTTTTTCTTTCGTCCACGTATTTTATTACTTAATCATCAAGATTATCCGACAACACTTTAGTTGTAAGGGCCTGTTCTATATTTGGTGTAACAAATAAACATTTAACTTAAAAACTTCAGATATCTAACATTATTTAAAAAAAAACACTTTAAAATCTTTACAAACATCTCCAGTAATGTGGAATACCGTGGAATGTCGTACAGACGACAAGAAAAAACAATGTTACTTTGGCATTCCACGGTATTCTGCATTACTGGAGATGTTTCGGTACCAATACAACTAAACAGTTTAAAATTCACAAAACTACGACATACATTTCAAAAACTCATTAAAAACGTGCTAGAAACTCAATGTCTTCTAACGTAATAGAGCATCCTCTTGGCTAACGGAAACGTGAACTTGAGGGTAACAAGCGTTATCATTGAATAATAATTCAGACTTATTATTGAATGGCGTTATCATGAACCTTCCACTTTTCTTAATTCCGCATATTCAATGGCGTTATCATGAACCTCCTTCCACTTTTCTTAATTCCGCATTTACTTTTAATACACACACACATGTCCAAAACCTAACAAATATTATCTTTATCTAGAGATAAAAAAATTCCATAGAAAAAGAAAAAAACCTACCCCATTATCATTTCACAATGTCGTCAATTTCAGATGCGAGAAACTATTTTATGATTTTACGTGAACTTAAGACATTCCACATGACGCAGAACCCAAATTGTGAGAAAACGAGATTTAACAATGTCTCAGTTGGTTAATAAAATTGCACAAAGACGATTATTTGCATTGCGCGTTATAGGCAAAGTAAATTCACGCTCGTCTGAAGCATTCGAATTACTGTAAATGTCCCAATTTGCAAGCAAATAGATCTTCACGAAATAAAATTAGAAAACAATAATGAATTTATTTAACAGACAAATAAATGGTGAACTCGAAATCAAACGTTCCTCAAAATGAAGACGGTGCTCATACTACTACTGTCAGTGGTTACTGCGCAGGTATAATTTCCACAACTTTTTTTTTGTTAATCAATGTAGTTACCACCAGAAGTAATAAAGGAGTGGGATGCCTTAATCGCACGTCACCATGATGTTTGCGTAAACCAAACTAAAATCAATCCGGAGATACCGCAAAGAATGTTTACTGATCTTCACCTTCCAGATGACGAGCTCTTCTACTGCTACATAAAATGTGTTCAACAAGAGGCGGGTTTTTTTTCGAGAGGTATATTTAATCCTCAGCGTATGTTGGATAATATACACTTACTAACGCCTCCGGTGATGAAAATGTGCTTTGAAAAGGCAAACCTTGAGCTAAACATGTGCAAAAGGGCCTTCACGTTCCTGCAATGTGTTGTTTTCGACGTTGTATCTAAGTTGTAAAGACTACTCTTGCATTATTATTTGCGTTAGTACTTATGTTAATAAACTAATGCGATGCATATTTTACTAATTGTTTTTAAACAGATTTGAAAAAGAAAACCAGGGTTTTCCTCAAACCATGAACTCTCTTGACTACAGATGGATTCTAATAAGCAAATGTGCCATTTAATTAATTTAGAAATTGGTATCTGCAATTCCGAAAGAGTGTTGTTGTAGTTCATATTAGTTAGGTACCTACATCCAAAAAGTACCTAGCCTACATGTGTAATTCAATTATTTAATGTAATGGTGCTATATGAATTACGCGTGTAACGCTTCTTCAATGACTATCCTTGAATTTCAATATTACTGCAACGTTTTCTGTAATAAAGCTAATTAAGTTGCGTTTTAGATGATCAAAAATCCTTTATGTAATCGCGTTCACAGCTAGAGTAGGATATTTGCTGTCAATTTGGGCGTGTAAACATTTAAATATATCTTGACCATTACATTGTAAACCACCTTTTTCGTAAGTTAAAAACTGAACAGTGCGGTCAAAAGACCATCTATATACAGTTGTAAAACAGTTGTAAAGATAGCGGCGGATGTAAATAATGTTACTACTACCCTGAAGACACTTGGAATGGAAGTAAACTTGGAAAGCTCATTAACGAAGGGAAATATTTGCAGAAATGCCCACAATGGGACGAAGAACACAAGATTTATGTATGCGAGAAAGGAATCTCTGGAGAAAAGGTAACTTTTAGATATGAAGGCATTGAAAAGGGAATCGTGGAGAAGGCGGGTGCAGAAAACTGGACGAAGGGCCGACAATGGATAATTTAGAAGAAAAGCCACTACGAGTAAGTTTCAGAAGAAGAAAATTCAAACGATGGGATTTCTGTAAATATGTGCCTTTAGGAGAATGTGAAGACTCTAAGATATCCACGTTGATAGGGCAGACACATATGCATTGTATCCACCAGAAGACTTTATGGAACTCGCATAATGGATGGATAGCCTTACATAAGATAGTGAAGAAGCGCTTTGAAATAGAAGATTTTGGTGTAAAAATCTATAAAGATAACTTGCGACCTTCGGAGGATAAAAATGCGCTAAAAATTATGGAAAACACAGCAAAAAGGACGGAGAGATGTGGGAGATAACTCTGTTGTGAAAAGATGAAAATAAGAAGCTACCAGAGAACAAAAAAATTGCTAGGACTAGGACTTGCTAGTATTCCCTATCCTACAAAAATAAGGATTGTATCTTTGTGGTTGGAATTCAAATTTTAAGGGGGTAATCGAGGGAATACCCGAAGAACAAACGTAAAAAAATACACAACTGAAGACTCTTGATGTCCAAATCCAAGGACAAAATAAAAGTATTGACACCTAACCATTTCTTATTGGGCAGAATTAGGAACCTAAGACAATGGACCGTCGCATTGGCGAAGATGATTTAATATCAGGAAGACAATGTGGAAGAGGAAAGGAATTAGTAAATGAATTTTGGAGTAGATGGGTGAAACGCAAAGGACAAAGTGGTATACAAATAAAGAAGAGCGAAACGTAAAATCTGGATACTGAATATTAATTGTGGATTCGAGAGGGTTAAACAATAAGTGGTTCAAAGGAAGAGTGGGAAAAACTTACCCAGGCAAGGGTGACGACCCAATTTGGAACCTACCGTGGACCAGTATCCAAATTGGCGAAATTAGATATAAGATTAGATAAGTAACCAATTTGAAGAATTGTTATTGTTTCGAGTTGCTTGTGGCGGAGATGAACATTTGAAATATCTAAGCTGTTGTTTGCTAGAATGCCAGAATTCGTGAAGGTAATCAAAAAAGAAGAATATATAGCCGACAGGTTAACAGTACTTTCCCAAAGTTTTTTGATTTCGTCTTTGGACGTAACAATATTGATAGGTACATGAATAAATGCGCAACAGGACATTGGTAGGCGAACAGTTTTCCCAAATAAACCGATGATACAAAATGTTGTATATAAACTAGGACTAAAATATATTGAATGGTATCAAGCAATACGGACTAATCCACATAGGATACCTATACATACTAGATATTTTTATAACTTATCCATCACAAAATTAATGGTACACTGAACTATTACATAGGTTTTCTTGCACAATTCCTCTTCCCGGTAGGCTGACTCGGCGCATAGTTTTGCCCCTTCAGGCGTCACCAAATATACCTCTTTTGCTATTAAATCTGTATCAAATCTTCCATTAACTTCAAACCCTTTGTGCTCTAAGATGCATTTCCAAAAACAATGGATTCGATTTTCAGTTGGTAGGCTGGAATCAGTTAGCATCGTAATTAAAACATCTGGGGCAATGTGCGTTTCATTCCCACAAAGTAAGTAATAGGGCTCAATCATTTGCTTCCATTGTTTTGTCACATTCGGTGGAATCTGCAACAAAAAAATTGTTTTATTTTACTAGGTGATTTGTAGATGAGTATTACCTCTCTTGCATACGATACCATAGCAAAAATTACAAATAACGTGCTCGCTTGTATCTCAAACTTCATCGTCAAAGAATTAAAATTATTAAAGGAAATATGCCTTTATATATCGGTGGGTTGTATTCATATTTTTTGAATTTCAAATTTTTTGCTTACATATTTAATTGCAATGGTTGGATTTATGACATACATATATGAATAATTAATTATACCGCTAACGATATTTACAGGGTGCTCAGCTAATTTGACCATATTTTTGTGTATCTATGCTAATTTGGATTGTTGCGTTGTAGTTGCGAAAGGAACCCTACTTCAAGGTTGTTTTATTAGAAAGGTTGTCTGGTAACTCTAAACCAATAGAATGCTTGCATTTTGAAGGCGGGAAAACGTCATCCAGAATTCACATTTAAAATTGCTCATAGGTTCAATGCTAATAAAAGGGGTAAAAAATTTAGTTTTTGCAGTATATTTTTGGATTTATATGGGTATATGTATATGGGGGTGGTTCTTATATTGGAAATCTTGGAAGTTTATCGACTTCCACCTTTGAAAGCAAGTATTGCAAAAATGAGTGTGGTGCGTAAGCTGTTTTACATTGCACGAGGACTTGTGAAAATGTAATCAAATTAATTTTAGAGGTGGAAATGGATAAAATTCCGCGTTCTACAAAATAGGAACCACCCCTATGTACCAATACCTAGCCTTTGGGATTTAAAACTCTAAACATTCTTTAGCGGATGACGCCAAATAAAATGCTGTTGCGTTTTATGGAATATGTATATTTATAGTATGTACAAAATAGTAACCGAAGTGCACACGGCGAGCTCTGTCGTTGGGGTGAGCCCAGATGCAGGTCTTCTGACTGATGGATTGTGGCGCGAGGTCGATTTGGAAAGGCGACCTGGTTCTGCAGGTGGAAAACTTTTTGTTTCTTGAAGTGCAGTCGAAGCAGAAATTGCGATGCACTTTGCAGAGTTCGTGGCTCTGCTTTTAAACGTTTGCGGCCAGGGACGCTACGCTTTCATCGGTTGGTCGTTTTGACCAATGAGGGCGCCGCACGTTTTAGTTTGCTGCCGGATGTGAAACATTTTCTTACCCATTCTTTAAGAACGGTAGGGTCCTTTGGAAACGTAAAAACCGAGATTTTATTTACACCAGGATGAGGAATTTTAGTGTCACCGCCACTCATCTAAAAAAATACTTAATTATAACATACAAAAGGGCATATAATTGATGAACTAACCTTTCCATCACGGCTATGAAAACCCACAAAATTCACAAACTAAATGTCTTTATATTCCACCAAACAGGTATCTACAGCTAAAATATGTCCTTATGCACTTCAAAATTCAACAAATTTTAAACAAATAAACTATAACTCAAGAAAAATAAGCACCCGCGCGACTACAAACAACGTTGAACGTCAATGTCAGAATTCTCGATGACGTATACATTCCGTCCCTCCCGCTTCCGCCCACATAGTTACCAGGTAACCTTTGAAATAAAATAACCTTGACCCTAGTTGCCTTCACACGTTTCCTGCTACATCTTTTTTCAAAATTCTGCACAAGCTGAAATACCACAACTTTTTCTGAGTTAATTAAATTTGCTGTTGTTGATTGGAACACAAAAGTTGCATAACTCGTGGGCAAACAAAATCATTGACATACGACCATCTAGGTCAAGCAGTCACGTCACTATATGATTTCAGAGTTTTCAATGGACTTCTAAAGATGGAGTGGACAACACAACACGATCTGTTGAGAGCTTTGAAGAGTCTGCAAAAGGGGTTGGTTATAAATCTGATAAGCTGATTAACCAATAGCACTAAAGATCTATAACGACTGTTTGAAGTAATAAAACCGTTGTATGTATACCTGTGTTCTAATCAATTAAATAAAGAATGTGTATTAACTTTGGTGAACTCTGGTGAAAGTACTTTTGGTTATCGAACGAGGATCCATACAGGTTCCCAAGCATTTTACCCTAAAGTAATTCAGAAATAGGTACAATTTGTATCCTACCTAAAATGGCGTGTGGGAAATGATATTAAAATTTCATATTTTAATTTGCATTTCTAAAAAATTTTATTACAAATTCACATTTAGTTGAAAGCATTATCATGACACAAAAGCCATATATCAAAGTAATAAAAAAAAAGAATGAACTCTTGTACTTGAAGCGGCATCATTTACATGCAAATTCATGTAAGAAATGCATCATTTTCTTAACACAGTAATAATTGTTCCTGTCGCATACCCCTTCCAATGGCATATAATGTTTTGGGGCAAAGTTACAAGGATTGTATCAAATTTTCAGATTCTTGGCCCGTTTGAGTAATAAAATGATAATTTTCTGTCTCCATTTTATTATTTTATTTTTCGCAATTGGCGCGTCAGCTCACTCGATCGACTTACACTTGAATTTTACAGTGCTGCCACTAAACCCAGACGCAAATTCCCCGCGACTCCCAGACTTTTCCCGCCCTCCACACGGATTAAAAAAAATAGTGCAACTTAGTTATGAGAGAGTCCCCGTATTGTTGTGTAAACTACATGGGGGTGTGGTTTCTCTAGGTTGAAACAATGCTTACGATGAGAGCGAGCCACCTTGAGATGAAAAATTATATGTTGCTAAACTAATTTCGAAAATGGCAATCGGGACATCCTGTATGTAAGATATTTTTTAATTTCAAATAGACACAGATTGGAAAATTTATTTATCAGCTTTATGTTAGTAAATTTTACCGATAAAATTGTTTAATTCATTTAATTCTATTTGTTGTATTTAGTTTAGTAGCTTAATAGATAAGGCGATTTTCTAGTGACGTCAAGGTCTACCTGGTGGTTACTTTTAAAACGGAGATGCCAAAGGTTAACGACCTTAATTGCGCACTTTCAAAACTAAATACAGGTGAGCGATTTGCCAAGGAGAGCGCCTCTTAGTCGTACCATAGGGTAAACAACGTTGTCGTACTTAGTCACACTTATATAAATACATAAACTGGCCGGGTTAGGGCTGTTAGGCTTAATTGACAAAAAGCAAGGTGACAAAAGCCATTGGATAGGTTGTGATAAGAACGAAGGTGTCGCAAAAGAAGAGGGTTCAGGAATTGCTAATAATTCTAACCAAATTAAAGTTTCTGTTTTAGTAGTAGACCAATCAAGAAGTTAAATTTACTGTGTTGGAAGAAATTTCCATTATCTTCGCTCTAAAACAAATGGAAACTAAGAACATTGTTTACTGGTTTACTGTTTATTGAATAAGTTTATCAAAAATTGCTGTAATCAAAATTTGTAACAATTTTTGTAAAGAAACATGCACCCTGAATTGACATACCTATCAATCCACATCCAATAATAATTATATGTACTATCAAGTGAATACCAAAAATTAAGTAGATTTATCATGTAGGAGTAATTTTAAAAGAATCGTTCAGGTGTCATTGTAAATAATTCCTACAGTAATTTCTTTGACCTGTACGTAAATTAGACATTTAATTTCGGAAACCTTGAAAGAGCGTATTCTTAATATTCATCTCAACTTCATATTGCGATTATTAATTTTGCATCAACGGGTTGCATTTTTAAACGTATTCCTAGTAACGGTAATTTTTGATTGTAGGATATAAGTAATTTGTACCATAAAATTAAAACGGGAAACTTAAAGACCATTTATTTTGCGTGAGTTTAAAGTATTATCTCGTCAGGTGTTGATAAAAAGTTGTTATCGGACAAGAATTATTTTTCGGCACACAATGTCACGTGCGAGATAAGCGATGCAGGTGGTTATCAGGTAATACAAGAAAAGTCACAAATTTAAGTGTTTTTGTCTTCGAGCCAATTGTGGTGAGTGAGTTGTTTTTTGATTGAGAAGAATCTGTCAGATTCGTTCTTAAAGTGTGTGTTTCGCCGAACATCGCACATTTCTTGTCCCGGTCAGTTTATTGGATTAATATACTGCGGGAACTTTTTGATTTCTTAAATTGTTTTTAGATTTTTTTTAAAGAAAAGCTGCTTAGGTGCAAGTCGTTTTCGATTCATTTCTTATCCAGTGGAAAATGTGTTGTGGCTCAGTTATAGCACAGACAACATATATGTTATCTGTGATTATAGTATGGGGTATGGAAACCGCGTTGGTCTTTCGGTCCTGTCGCCTTGAGGGAAACTTCTGTAACATTGTTACGAAAATGATTGCTTTAATTATCCATTAACTTAACTCTCACGATTAACAAAGAACAATATAAACCACAGAAATGATATGGAGAATATGTACTACATGTTATATACTATTTATAGCCGCATTCATTCCACACTGAACAAATGTATAGATTCTCTTGCATACTTCTTTTTCTCCAAAAGCTATTTGAATGCATGGTTTTGAAACTTCAGGCGTGATCAAATACACCTGATTATTCATTAAATCTATATTAAATTCACCATCGACTAGAAACTTGAGATGCTCTAAAATGCATTTCCAATAGCAATGAATTGAACGTTCACTGGGCAGGCGAGAATCGGTTAGCATTGAAATGACAGCGTCCGGATCAATGTGAGTTTCATTTATGCACGTTTGATGATAAGGTTCCACCACTTTCTTCCATTTCTCTTGAATGTCCAGCGGAATCTGCAACGAAAATTAATAATTGGATTTTTTGGTAACGTATGTACTACACCTTCCTTGCTTGCGATACGTTTGATACTAAAACTGCGGCAAGCATTGCCATTACAACGCTCTGTAGATTAAAAAACATTTTCGGCAAACTGTAGACAACATATGTCTTCTTTTATATATGAACCTATACCGTCATTTACATTCATTACCTTACATTTTCAATTTAAGTAGTTTCTACATAATTACAAAATTCTCCACATAAAGGAATATAAAAATATATATTATGCATTAAGCAAAATATCATTATGGTGGTAATTACCTACCATACAAATATTTCTTTCTTTATTAACATAAACTAAGAAGGTCGCAGCATGTAGTAAGCAGTATGAAGGAAACTGACGGGACAATTTGGACGAGATGGGAAATCGACATGGTAATAAAGCTTCCAAAAAATGTTTCCTGTAGTTCTTTTTTGAAAAATAAAGTAATGATAGCTGTTGAGGGGAGATAAATGTAATAAATTTTGTCATTCAAATGTAGATATTATGGAAACTTCGTGTGAATTTTGTGTTATCCTATTGTAGGTACCTATATCATGAAGTTGCTCATAGAGCACGGTAATAAAAAACGCCATGATCGTGCATTGTAAGCAAGGGAAATAACATGTGTATAGTTCCGTGCTTCTCAATCATATGAGGTAACCTACTACATTTAAAATAATAAGCTATTGGTTCGTTTTTCAGCTTCCAACCGATGCAATCGAGACAAATAGTTGCTCCAGACGACGATCTATGCCTAAAGGAAACTCACGTTATCTCAATTGCAAGACCAGAAGAGAAATCGATTCACTGTTACTCGAAATCTATTCGCAAGTATACAAAGTTTGTAGTTAACAGTGTGATGGACAATGATCTAATGTAATAGTGTAAGAACCCGTGCCTGCTAGACCTTCATTATTTCCAAGACAGGTAAGTACGATGGGCTACTATGTATTTTGGCTAATCGTGGTTTTGACAGGTGTTTTCTGGATTGGAAAACTTGGGGCTGAGGTTGCTTGTGCGGGTGGCTCAAGTCTCAGCAGGTTGCGGTAGTAGAACCAGCTAAAGGCGGAGACCGTTTAATACATACAGTGCCATTTATTAAGAAGAAGACATAGGGATTTCTGTGTATTGTTTTTCCCTTCTTAAACTTCTTAAAACAAATAAAAATCTGGCTGTCACATTAAGTAATTTAAATATTTTTGTTTTGTTAATATATGCCAAAGCAACAATACTCAAATTAATTAATATGGCAGCTAGATGTTTATATGTTTTAAAAAGTTATTTTGGATGAATGAAATTAGGCGCCCTTCAGAAGGATTTTGTCATTTCAAAGTAGACATAGGGAAAAACAGTACACATAAATACCTATGTCTACTTTTTAATAAATAGCACTGTATACTGATCTTCCATAATAAATAATTACGTAATTTGTTTAACAATTTAAGTAAGTACGCCTCTGTTATCTGCGCAAATGAATTGGTATTGAAGTTAACGGTCAGTGTGCCACCTTCGGTGGACCCTGAACAACAATCGGGTGCTGGTGCTTGTTAAACTCCTTTAACAATCGGAATGATAATTAACATATACTTAAATGCCACTAGATACGTAGTTAATGAAATTAGTGTTTAAACAATAGGTGAGTGTTTAATAATGTACGGGGAATTTCTACCTTTGTAGAATTCACGTACAGTATGCAAAATGAAACGGTTCAACAAAAGAAAAAAATAACTATGAATGGACTAAAATAAAATTGGAATTTGATCAATTAACAAGGTTTTAATCAAGGGGAAAATAACAAAATTAAAATGGATTTTATATAATTCAAAGGGTAGATGGGACTCTGGGGATTGGTAATAAATAAGGATGGTTGTCATAGGTACAAAGTACCGTCCTAAGATGCCAAGCTTTTGATAATGGTTATAAAAAAAGGATGTCCGGAAGTTGACCAGATACGCTGTACGCCGTACCAGCCGTTAGCTTTTGGAAATTAGCTATACTGGATTTTACGGGAACGAAATTCAAACCCTTGTGCTTCTGGAAGTAAGTTATAAAAGGGGTTGGTGAAATTTAGATCTAAGTGTACAAAGCACCGGCCTAAGTTTCTGGAAGAGTAGGAGATCTGGAGGGTTGTTCTGGTAAAAGATTTTAGGATTTGCTCGAGCGGATCAGGTTAAAGTAAACTGGGTTAACTACATGTTGTAGAGTGTGCATTTCAGTAATATGACGATTTGGAGTTGGAAGGTGACAAACTTGCAAAAAAAGTTACATTGACATTCTCGAGCGCGTTGGATTTTACTTTATTTTGAAGGAATTCAAGAATAACAGAATAAATACATTCTGTCGATGTCTACAAGCCAAAGTAGATGTAGAACAAATCGTCAATAAAGGTAAAAGATGTCTGCTTACTGTAATCATATAGGCGGGGCGTCAGAAATTATACGTACAACGCGTTTGAATAAATCCAGTTTTCTACCCTTTCCACCAGGCAAACCGGCAGATTAAGATACCTCTCCAATATGAGAGACATGTGGGGCATATACACTATCAAAATCTGACGCGCTCGAGTATTTTCATGTGACTATTTTTTATACATTTTAAAAAAGTGTAGACGCGCCCCCCAGAGGGATGTATTATATCATATAACTTTTTTATTTTTACCATCTAATCTACCAAGTTCAATAGGTCCCAACGACGCTCCAGTTAATCCACAATTATGGTGGTTTATACAATCATCATAATTAGTGACTATCAAAAGTCATTTTATGACGGCCAATAGAAAAAGAGGAAAAAGAGGAGTGAACTAACTGTTTTAATAGTGGCCCTAGTAACATGAATTAGATTAAATTTTGAATGATACACGTTCTATATGAACCTTATTAATGAAACTTGTGTAGCTAAAATCACTCGGCTGCACCTCGTGATTTTAACGTTGCACGCGTTTTATTATGACATAATATCAGCTATTATACCAAACATCGACAAGAGCGATTTTTTCTACTTTATCATTAACAGTGACCTCTACAGTGATTTATCCTTTTCCAATGGCACTAATTTAGTCTCCATTCGCTGTAGTAACCATATGATCTGTGTTGAATGTTTCAAACTTTTCGAATAAATCACCACGGTGAGTGATATGGTTAATTTGCACCATTTGTAACGATTTATTTTCTTCATTAGAAGCATTATTATTTCCCGGCATATTTTGTCGAATGATCCTCGTATGAATTGTAACCTTGGAATTTTAAACACGCAATTTTTGCCGCGAAATTTTTACGGCGTTGCAAGCCGTGACCGAGTGCACATTAGCTAAGGCGTTAGTGGAAACCCATGGGCCACCCATATGTATGGGAATTCCGTGTCAATTTTTGAATGGAATTTCACCCGTTAACTCCAGTAAGAGGATATAGTTGCGTTATTCTTCTTCATTGTAAGTACGCCATTTGCATTTAATCTGCTTAACGTATATCTTCTTTAGATTCCAGCTGACATTTAATACAATTTTCCATCGGACGATTGTTGCACATTCATTTATAATTAGCCCTCTTATTTAAAATGTATGTACATTTATATATACAACCTGTATATTTTACATCAAATACCTACACTTACAATCTAAACCTTGTAACATAATTACATAACATTAAATTCCTAGACCTTGACGCACCAGCAAATTTATACCACCTCAGCCATCACTATGCATTGGACAAGTGTGTACGATTTTTGACAAATGTCGGACTCTGCTTCGCCTTGCACAATACATTTTTCCGCTAACTCCCGTGGCAAGCTGTATACCAGCTTTAACATAACATCAATATCAAATTTTCCGTTAGATAAAAATTTGGCATGCTCGTGGAAGCATTTCCAATAGCAATGAATGGATTTTTCATCTGGAATAGTGTAATCCGCCAGCATGTGGATGATGGGTTCAGGTTTGTCGTGAGTTTCGTTTAGGCAAAGTTTGTGATAGGGCATTACCAGTTCGTTCCATTTCGCTACTACTTCGGCGGGTACCTACAAAAATTGTTTTTTTTTTAATATTCACACGTAGGTACTCACTGCTTACTTTCTTTTGTGCTTCAGATGTGGAAAGAGAACATAATACGATGACAACAGATGCAAGAACAATCATCGTCTTTGAATGGAACACACTCGGTTTCATGGTGGCACTGTTTTTGAAACTGGGATATCGGCGCCGATAATTTATAAGCCCGAGGAAACAGTGACGTTATTGTATATATGGAATCATATAAATTATGCATGCTTGCCTAAGTTCCCATCCCAAGTGAAAAATAATTAAGTAAACAGCGTAAAAAATGGGCTGTAAACCAAAGGTGAAGATAGGCATAATGATTTACTGCTTACGTATTTCGAGCCTTATAATTGTGAAAATGGCCATAACAAGTTTTCCCACCGCACCTTCTGACCCCGAAATGCTTTTGATAATTACAAAATGTTGATAAATTATATTCGGAAAATTAACCGAATAATTTGAACAACGGGATGGATAACGAAGACAAAAGAAGAATAAAATATGTAACTTTGTAGTGGAAAATGTCCTAAATTGTAAATATTAATTACATGTAACAATCTGCGTTAGTTTGGTTATGTGTAAGTGTAGTGTGTAGTGTGTATGTAGTAGTAAGTGTGGAGGAAATGATTCCAGGCAGTTTGAGAAACGATTTTTCCCTATAGTACCCGCCATCCATTGACGGCGACTATTTTACGTGTATTTTTATTTTGTTGCCTCTGGACTACGACCCCTGTATTTTAAAACAAACACGTAAACTTGCGGCTGATCAATTAATTGCCTTTATTTTATAGCATATGTTAAATTGACATTTTAATAGGTTTGAATGAGTAGGCTAAGCCGTTCTTTAACCGTAAGGATAGATAAAGTGATCACTTTAACCATTAGGGTAGATAAAGATTACTGTGCATTCTAATGACATCTGTTTTTCTTATTTCAAATGCCCGATTAAAATGACGTTTAAAACATATGCAATTCTGTTTCTATGGAAACGATCGAGACGGCCTCTGAACTATAATTATAATAATAAATTATAATAATAAATTATAATAATAAATTATAATAATAAATTATAATAATAAATTATAGTTCAGTGGAGACGGCAGAACCTAAGGTCGCTATTTTTGACGTCTCTAAATAAAATTCAGAATTGTCAGAAGCTTGACTGATTTATATGGCTTTGTATTATACACGACGATAAAAAGGAACTAACCATCTCGTGAAAATGAATTCATTCGTGACTGCGCCCTCATGAATTAGCATCTTTCACTCAATGGTTAGAATATCCCTTTATCGTCTTGTATAATAAATAACTATTAATTAGTTAATTATGATTGTCATCCACTACTTTTAAGCAAATGACATATAAGGGAATTTTACCACCTAAAAACTGTTTTGTTTTGCAGGAAATCAAACTGTACGTACCTAATCATTCCCGACCACAATTTTGGAAAATACACGAGTGATTTCTGGGTGACAACCATTAATGTTGAAAGCTTCTATACATACATAAGCTGTAGATGGTTAGGAAGCAGGTATACTTTCCAAAATTAATTTAATGGTGACCATCAGTCGGTGAGAACTGAGCAGTCATGGTATCACCATATAATTAAATGGCCGGAGTAACCTGACAAAATAATTACTTTTATCCAAAATCGTCCTGAAACCTTCATTTTCATGCCTACTTTCTCTCAGGAAATTTTAGTTTCCAACACAGAGGCTGAGCAGACTACGTTTCCTGCCGCTTGTCACTCTCCTGGCCGCAGCTATCCCTTTCCAGCCGCACCGTCACTTTACCGGCCGCATTTGTGACATTTCCAAATGTCTATAATGACTCCTGTCATCACTGAAAGATTGACATGAATCAAAAGTTCTATGATTTTAATATAAAATCCGATTTCGGGCCAAATTTAATACAAAACTCGTCAGTAAAATGACATTACCTGACTCGAAAATTAAAGTACTCGGCCCCTCTTCCCGACTTTTATCTAACTATTCACCTTGTAACGCATCGTTAATCTTAAAGGTATGCTTTATAGGAGCGCCAGACTTATTTACACCCGATGGTAGTGCTATAATAATGTAGGTCTACCAAGCGTATAGTTTTCTCTCTTTCTCTATCAAATACAATTATACCTAATTGGTTCATAAATGGAAAAAATATGTCCAATACAAACGGCTTCAAATTTGACCAGGGTTGGGATCTTTAAGAATACAACGATTGTAACGCGACGAAGAAATATTGCGCATGGTGAGGAGAGTGTGTGCATTAGTCAGTCTTGTACCACGTTTTTGCTCCTTTGTCTTTAATGTTTCTAAGTGGCCCATCTAGTTGAACTGTATAATCTCTAACCCTACCATGGGATACACCTTGTCGTGGTGGTAGGGCTCAGTAGTCACATTTTTCTGTGGCGAAGCTAAGTATCTCAGGCGGGTGATTGCTAGATTCCATGGCTTTAACCCATAAAGTTTGATGCGTGCTGCCATGATTCATGGAGTACAGAAATTTGAAAGAAATCTCAACGATCACTCATTAAACTTAATATACGAGTAGAAAACTATATTGACATGAATAGCACATTTTTCACGTACGTATAAAAACCTTCAGCATATATTTGGAAAAACCTCGCAAGAAGCACATTTTCACGAATCATGGACTGATTCTACCCTAGACACTTGCTCCCCTGTCCAATTTGAACCCCTGCTTTTGTTTTATGGCACTTTTTATTTGTTTAGATTTTGCAATATTTTTTTACGTTTTTCAATATTTTTCGTATTTATAATTGAATTGAATACGTCATTGAATATCGCTTTTGTTTATAATTTATAAGTTACAACACTTAATGGTCTAATTGCCTCGAAATGGGTGCGCAAATGCCGCCGTTGGGGGCGTGGTCTGAAGACAGATTTAATTAAATTTAACGTTGTCGAAATTCTGCTTTGTTCTTAATTATGGTTAATTAAAATTTGTCCCCTGTGAAACTATGCGTTCGGTTGTAATTGGAATTAAGTTTACCAATTTGCGCAAGCTGCTAGTAAATTATATTAAACTTAGCTGAAAGGATCGTTTTAATTGCTTCTTTTATAATTGACATATTTTAATTCACTTCATGAATATGCATTCAAGTGTTCTACGTGTATTCTTTACCAGAGGGTAAAACAATTCAAAAATTAAAAAATATTCTTAACAAGCGCAAAAGAAACAAGAAAATATAAATGTACATATAGGTACAGGTTCAAAATTAGTAAATACTAAAAATACGTAAACTCCACTCACTCCTCAAAAACATCAAAGTATTCTTTAGAGAATAAAAGACAGTCCCCTTCCGTTTTTTTTTATACATATGAAGTGAAGGAATTGACCTTACACCCTGAGGAATCCCATTGTATATCATTGTCGGAGTTACGTTTAAACCGAGGTTTAAACGATACGAGCCGGAGGTGAAGCTAGAAAAATATGCTAACGTCAGGAGCATGCACACTTTGAACTTTACCATGCATTAATTAGTACCTGCTCAATTAATCATTATAATCCTGCTTACCTTTACCTTTGTTTTATGGCCCTTTTACTTGTTTACCTTCTAACTGAGATAAGAATTCCGCTAAGCAAGCACATAAGTTACGATTCATTATGTGCTATACCGTCGGTTCAAGAGATCGGTACCGTTATTGAAGTTTGAAAAATAGTGCCACCATGAAATCAAGTGTGTACCATACAAAGACGATGATTATTCTTGCATCTGTTGTCACCCTAGTATGTTCGCTTTCTGTACCCGAACCACGAAAAGTAAGCAGTGAGTACCTGTGAAAATGAAAAAAATTCGCAATTTTTGTAGGCACCGCCAGAGGTAGTAGCGAAATGGAACGAAATGGTAATGCCCTATCACGAACTTTGCCTAAACGAAACTCACATTGATCCCGAACCTATCATTCACATGCTGTCATATTACGCTACTATTCCAGAGGAAAGAGAAATTCATTGCTATTGGAAATGCTTCCAAGAACATGCAAAATTTATATCTAATGGAAAAGTTGATCTCGATTTTATGGTAAAGACCGCATACAATTTATCACGGGAGTTAGCAGAAAAATGCGTTGTACTAGGGGACGGTGAAACTGATCTTTGTCAAAAATCGTACATAATTGTTAAGTGCATAGTAATGGATGGGGTGGTATAAGTGTGTTGGTACTAGTGGCGTAGTGGGGTTTTATACTATTTTAGTAATTTAGTTACATTTATGGTGGGTTTCTACAATCATTATCATTAGTTTACTATCAAAAATCATTAAAAAATAGCCAATAGAAATAAAAATTTATTGCACGTTGCTAACCAACGAAACGTCTTGAGCTTAGTGAACTAATGATAATGATTGTACCTATAAACCCACCATTAGATTGCAATTCTAGGTAAAATATTTAGGGTCAACTCAAAAGCATTGTGTGGTACACGTATCTTTCCTAAATAAACGGAGAGTTGAAAATGTTTCGCTGGAAACCATAATCTCGACGAAAATTGGTATCTGGGTATCTACTTAGGAAAACTAAACGAAAAAATTGTTTACTGCAATACTTGGCACGACAACGAAGAAGTCGTTAGGGTTCTATAATTATTCCTACACGCAAAATAGACGATACAATAGAAGTATTGCGCTCCAATCAACTGCTAAAGTAGCATTATATACGTCTTTCGCTATAGAAACCGTTGCACGTCATTGATTTGTGTATCAATTTTAGACATATGCTGCAACACTGCAACATGTACAAAAAAAACAAGTGTGCGAAATCTATAGAAAACTTGTCTGAAATTGATTCATAAATCAATGACGTGCGCCGGTTTTTATAGCGAAAGACGTATACCTATAATTTACTAGCAGTTCATATTAGACCGGGAGGCAGCGTACATAGTAACTAAACCATAAGCGACAAAAAATTCGACAATACAGGCTGAAAGTACGTTGAAAACTAATAATAAAATCACTCGTCTGCCAGTCGTAAGTGGCAGCATTAACTTGGGGCGGCGCTGAATAGGTGACTTCTTTAGGTGATCAACTAAATTACCAAACTATAAGGGTCACGGAAAAGATTTGTATCAAGAAATCCCATTTTTTCCATAGTTTTCAAATATGCTATGGCAGACGATTTCAAGTGCAGCGTTGGTAGCGAAAGACGCCCTCCAATGTAGGGAAAAACACCCCTGAACTAAACCATGAGGACCGTATAAAAATTATACATAAAAAATTCCTCTTTGTGTCACTACTTTAAAATATATCCTGGCAGATGATATTAAGTGTAGCTTTAATAGTGGCAGACGTCTTAGAAGTTAAAAAATTTAGGTACAGTAAATCCCAGCGAAGTCATACATCCGGTAAATGCGTGGGAACCCGGTAACACGTTACCCTGCGCGTTACACACATCAACACCCAAATTCACGAACATCTCTCGAAGATTTATTGAATTTCTGCGAGAGACCTACTTCCATCTATACCTTGATGGTAGCGTCAATTTTACATTTCCCAAAGCAATAACAGCAATATCCATATCGGAAGCGCTAATAATGACTTCGCTATTTGTTGGTAGTTTACCAAGATGGTAAATTATTCGAGAATCTGCCTCTTAGTGGCTGCAGCACAATTCAGTTTTTACCACATCATCTTCCCTTGTCACAAATTTATAGCACTTATCTTCATATGTTGCAAACACAACTTCCCTTCCAAGTAAAGAACAATAGGTCTTTTTTGCCTATGAACGGTATAAGTAGTCTGTAAGAGAGGCTTTGAGCTATCATTGCGAAGTGGTTTTATGAAATTTGCAGGCTGCTTCTGAGTGGAAACAGAAATTGAGTAGGATTGTAATCTTTCCTTATTTTGATCTCAACGATCATGTTCTGCGTCCTTCATGGAAGGGGCAACTATCTGTCAAAAGTAAGATGTACTTCTCTCGCTGACACAGCACAAATCTTGCCGAGGATGTGTTCAGAAAATCGTTCAAAGGTTTAAAAGATGCAAAAAAATAATCCATCGATTAAAACAACATCTACAACTGGCGATGGACTAGGAGCACTTGGAGAATCATACTTCCGAAAAAGTTCCAGCAAAACAAACTTGTCGATTTTAATCATCGATCCATCAATGTTGCATGCATAGAGACAACGGAACTGGAGTTTAGAACGAGCTGAAGATCTATCTTCTTTTCTCTTCAAGTTTTCTGTTTCTCAGTTTGAGAAGAATTCAAGAAATACCGATAATCTTATCGCGAAATAAACAATTTATTATTTTCCCTAATTTAATTCGTTTGATAACTCCAAGCGGTGCGTAAATCTATAGCTATCTCTGTTCGTTATGCTCTCGCGCGCTTATCTCTCACACGCTCGCACTCGCTGGGATTTACTATACCTAAATTTTGTAACTTCTAAGACGTCTAACTATTAAAGCTACACTTAATATCGTCTGCCACGATATATTTTAAAGTAGTGACAAAAAGAGGAATTTTTTATGTATAATTTTTATACAGTATTGCAAAAACGGGCGATCAGAATTATTTGCTCCTTACCATGTAAAACTCCATGTAGGATATTTTTTAAAGAGTTAAAAATACTAACGGTAGTTGACACATATATCCTCGAAATATCTTGCTACGCGTTTAAAAACAAATCAAGTTTCATAAATCCCGATCATAGATACAACACACGTAAAAAAACTCACTTGTATCCTTGTAGACATAGGACCACACTCTTTCAAAAGAATTTGTTATTCTGAGCGTGCCAAATTTTCAATGCCTTACCGAGCAATATTAAAGAAATTACTTCCTTTTCGAAATTTAGAATAACGCTGAAAAACTTTTTGATGGAGCAGTCATATTACCACTTGAGCGAATATCTCGAAAGATGATTTTATTGTTTTTTGTTCATTGTATGCTTTACCTTAACATTATAATTTATGTAAAATTGACAAATTGTTACGTACGTTCTATTCTTATACAAGTATATAGAATGTATCTTGTGACAATAATAAATATGATATGATATGATATGATATGATATACGGTCCTCATATGGTTTAGTTCAGGGGTGTTTTTCTCTACATTGGAGGGCGTCTTTCGCTACCAACGCTGCACTTGAAATCGTCTGCCATAGCATATTTGAAAACTATGGAAAAAATGGGATTTCTTGATACAAATCTTTTCCGTGACCCTTATAGTTTGGTAATTTAGTTGATCACCTAAAGAAGTCACCTATTCAGCGCCGCCTCTAGTTAATGCCGCCACTTACGACTGGCAGACGAGTGATTTTATTATTAGTTTTCAACGTACTTTCAGCCTGTATTGTCGAATTTTTTGTCGCTTATGGTTTAGTTACTATGTACGCTGCCTCCCGGTCTATATAATTAGCAAACCTAATTCCATTTCCAATTACGAATAATTGACAGCCGAACGCTTAGTTTCGCGTTGATTAATTTTCATTAATAATAAAGAACATACACAACTCTGTAACTTTTAACTTTAATTTATTAAGACCGTCCCTGATCAAAACCCCCTTTTGTTGCAGTTATTCATATCAGACCTCGCGCAGATTTATATCAGATGATAGTTACTTGTAAATATTTTATCTCTAATTGAATTGATTAATGTTAATTGAAAAGAATTTACTTTCTATTGGATTATTCCGAACTGAATATAATTAACAAATACTTCTAACGACACATTTCTACCTCTTCCCGCTATAAATGGAATGCTTGGCTACTTCCCAAACGCTTTCTTTACAATTTATATATCCATTCCTTAAGAACAACATAAACCGTGATAGCATGCTAGAAACGTAAATTTCTCGCCTTTATTGCTTTAGTCGCAACCAAATTCTGTTTATGCCTTACGTCATAAATTATTAGTTTACGTGCTTAATATCGGTCTAACATTAAATGGGCGTCATAAAAAACTTAGGTTAACGAAGCGCGTACTAGGGGACGCCGAGACTGATCTTTGTCAAAAATCGTACATAGTGGTCAGGTGCATAATAATAATAATAATAATATATTTGTGCTAATATCACTGCGATTTACACTCGTCAAAATTAACATAATATGATTAATCAAGTAGGTATTAACAAAAAAAAACAATAAGGTAAATAACAAAGTAATATAACGAGAAAAAGAGACAAACGGTTACAAAAATGGTACAACTATGAAATATTATCCGCTTCTAAGAATTCTTCAATTGAATAGAAGCATCTAGCAGGAAGGCTTTGATTTTGGTTTTTAGGCATTTTATTGGAAGATCGCGAACATCATGTGGTAGCTTGTTGTAAAATTTTTTTCCCATATTTTCAAAACTTAGAGAAGTTTTCGTTAACCTTAAATCGTTGTGAATTATGCATAGTAATGGAGGGGGTGGTATAAGAGTGTTGGCCCTTTCGTCAAGACCTGTGTGGCGTAGTAGTTTTATGGCTATTTTAGTAGTTTAGATTGTAAATGTACGTAAAATATACAGGATGTAACAATTTAGTACCCATGTTAAATACATTGTGTGGTACACGTAATCAAAACTAAGTAAACTGAGGGGGGAAAACGTTTTACTAGAATATCGACGTGAATTGATATCTAAGTATCTTCACAGGACAACTAATAGTTATTTAATATACATACCTTATAAGACGATAAAGGGACATCTTTTAACCACTGAGTGAATTAACTTTCGCGAGATGGGTAGTTTCCCTTTATTGTCGTGTATAATACAAAAGTTTATTTTATAGTATCGCAGGGGTTTCCTAAATTGCTCAACTGATGGTTGACAAATGTATCTAGACCTACTACTAAAGCCCCACTGATGGGAGCAAATGTATCTGGGGATTTGATATTAACACTCTGCTACACTTTGTTGATTAACAATTGAGTTTGTTTGGATTGAAAAATGAAAATTGCAATTAGAAAACTACCACAAAAATATAACGTCGAGATCAATTTCTCCGGTAACTAGCTCAGTCGCTACGATTTTTATTTCACCTGGTCTTAAGACAGTTTGCTCAAGGACCAAACCAAACATTTTTTACAAATAAACCATGAATCCAAAATATTTTGCTTGGAAGCTACGTCCATGACAGTCCCAAAACTTTAAAATTAGTAAGAATAGTAGGCACATCAAAAACTTGTACGATTTTATAATGGATCCAAATGTATATATAATCTTAATGATTTATTTAGATGTTGCTATAACACTTCACCTCTTTTGTCTTGGAAGAATTTGTGTTATTTGCACTCTCATGTTGTGAATTGAAAATAACGAGTTTATGCATGTTTATTTATTTACCTATTTATTGTCCCTTTCTTGTTCTGGGTCCTCAACAGGCGTTTTCCCTCCGCAGAAGGTCTTAAGTTGTTCTATACTACTCCGGTATTTACCTTACGAATTAGGAAAACTGCAGGAAAATCTAATTCGGAGTAGTCGGCAGAATGCAGAAGGGGTTATCTTCCTGTACTTGGCTTGACTTTTGCAAAATTTTTTTCGCCGGTGATATTTATACACCTTTCGACTCTATCGACATTCACATTCTATTACACTTCCATATTCTGTGCTATGGGAAGAACGTGTTCCGTGTACAGGGTAGGTACTGTGGTCAAATTTTACGCATGATCCTATTATTTTTAAGATAGTTTGTACGTGTGTAACGGTTTATTTTCTTATAATTATAAATATTATGGTATATTTTGTTGAATGATCCTCGTAACTTTTGGAAAGCAATCGTAACCTTCGAATAGATGACTCGATCTATCGTTGGAATTTTGACCAAGCAATTTTAAGGGGCGTTGGTTATCGATTGTCGACCTTCATTTCTCTCTTTCGACTGCAAGCTGTGATAGAGTGCACTTAAATTTTAATTAAACAGCAAACGCATTGAATTTTAATTACCGCAATTCTTAGTGTAGTAATCTTTGGCGATTGAATTCGGATTTGGGGATTCCGCAATATTTGGTGGACGGAATTTGGCCCCGGTAACTCCGATATAGGAGAATATTATAATTGCGTTTTTTTTCTGGCTAAGCGTAAGTATCCGCCATTTGCATTATATCCACTTGACGTATATTTTTTTCTTTAGGTTGGTTGATATTTCACATACAATTTTCCATCGAAGATTGCTGCATTTAAACAGGTATGTACATTTTTGGGTATTAACGCAAAGGGTTACCTGTAATTTTCTTTTAGGGTTTTTTATTTTAGTTCGAATGTAATTGCAGTCCTAATTGCAAATCCCAGTTTTAAGAACCAGTTCCAATACCATTTTGTGGAATTTAAAATTTTTTTATTGCAGGAACATTGCGATGACAGTTTGTTATCCCAAACTATTTGCACGGAGTTAATTCATATACATGGATACAACTTTGTAAGAAAGGATAGAGGTTCGAGAGGTGGAGTCGTTGGTATTTATATTCGGTCAAAAACACACTACTCCATCATTCATCCTAACCTTGTTAAAGAGCACTGGTACAAAAACATTCAGATTTCTAGATTCTATTATACTACCATAGCAAGGTTCAAGTTTGGGCACGGTAAATATCCGGCCCATTTGTTTAAAATTGGTATTCTAGACTCCCCAAACTGCGATTGCGGAGATCCCCAGGGCGACTTGAATCATCTGTTTTTTAGTTGTGTTAAGCGTGAGGCCAAAATTAGAAACCTATTAGAAAAGCTAAGCGAAAAAGGCGTAGCCTTTCCCACAAATATCCACGACCTTACTGCATAAACCAATCTACGATGTCATCATTGATTATGTAAGAGCAATTAGACTAAAACTGTAACTTTATGTGCGTCCATTGTATTGTAACCGTTACATTCATCTGTGTCCATATCCTTACATGTATTTGAACCTTCCGTGGCCATCCTATGTGTGGTACAAAGTCGCACTGATCGGCCCCTGTACGTGAAATGTTAAAACCACTGTCTATCCCTAGTTTGAGGTAACTACATCGTAGGCAAAATGGACATGACCCCGAAAAGCCTTATTTAAAAAAAATTCCATTATAAGTACATTATATCGTCCGCCCGCAACTAACGTATTTGTTTTTGTGAACAACTTAGAAATTGCGATATCTGGTTTTTTAACTAAGTGTAATGATCTTATTTGTGCTGGCGACATAAATTTAAACTTACTCCATCATGGAGGTGCAAAGACGGCATATTTTAGAGTAGCATGGTTTCTTTGAATATGATTTAGATCATATAAGCACTCCAACGATTGACGAAAAGTATTCCTACGTTGATTCATGCAATTTTGGTAAACCTGGAACTCGACCAGAAGTCATATACATGCGGTGCCAAGGAAGTGTTCAATGTCTCCGATCACTTGGGGGTTTTCTGTAAATCGAAATTGACCATGCACTAGAAATTAAACCCAAAAGCAAAATTCAAGAACTTAAAACGAGTAGACTTAAGACCTTTAATAATTATTTATCATATAAGACGATAAAGGGATATTTTGGTTTCTGGTTAAACAAATAAATAAATAAACGCCCTCCCTTTTGAGAAATTGCAACACCAACTCTACCTACCCGTTATACGTGACTGGGTCTTAATGAATTATAGGTACGTGCATTTTTGCAAATCGTTTCCTCATATTTAAGTGTATTATTAAACTCAACTTTTTTTTAATGTGCTTAACAGGTTATAACAAAATAAATAGTTTGCTTAAAAAGTAAAATCTATACTATTTGTAGCCAATAACAGCATCACGAATGTGATACTTAGACTTTAACCATCCTCTTCAATCCACCTCATTCATAACTACACACTGCACAAGAACGTATGATCTTTGACAGAGTTCTTCCTCCTGTTTTGCTTGTTCAACACACTTTTCAGCCAGCTCTGGAGTTAACTTGTATACCGTCTTCACCATTAGATCGACATCCATTTTGCCGTTGACCACAAATTTAATGTGCTCATGAAAGCACTTCCAATAGCAATGTATTACTTTTTCTTCAGGAAGTGTGAACTCGGCCAGCATATGGATGATAGGTTCGGGATTGTCGTGCGTTTCGTTTAAACAAAGTGTATGATAAGGGAGCACCATCTTCTTCCAATGCTCCACTAAATCGGGCGGTACCTAAAAAAAGTTATTTTAAACGTTCACATACTCCACACGTACAGTTCTCGCTTCTAGTGTTCCAAAGAAGCATGATAGAACGACTACTACAAGAACGATCATCTTCACTATTATATTTCAACTCCAAGTAGCGCATTTATAGGTTTGGAAGGATAGTTAACGCCTACTCAGGTGTGGTTAATTATTAAAGGAAAAGCGTAATTAGACCCATTAATTCGGTTAATTTAGAAACAATAAGGCCATTTATGTTTTTTAGGTGGGTATCAATTGACCAAATTATTCCCATCCCAGATGAAAAAGTAATTTACCTTGGAAGTTGCACCAAAAATATGAATGGCAAGTGCTTGTTTATAATAAACGTATTCTTAATAATTTCGTAAGGTGGGTTTGTGTCATTTAGATGACGAACTTTTGGACATTTGCAGGTCATATGTCAATGGAAATGTTTGCAATAATATTTTTTAAACAAACACGTATGTATATACAGCTTTTGTTAAACTCTTCCGAATTACTTCAAGAAATTAAGATTAAAGTACCATTTGTTAAGCTAAGGTAAAATAATACTATTTTTGCAACACAGCTTCATGTCCATGAACTAGGCAGGCCTACTACAGCAGACCATGGTTCTGCTTACTCATATCATTAGTGTTCCGTTAGTGCACGTTAGTGCCGCTGAAGAAATCGTTAGTGCACAAAAGGAAACTTACTATTTTTAAAAAATATTTGTGGGCCTGCTAACTTCATGCCAGCAGACCCATTTGAGAAAATCGATTCAATCTTTACACTAGTTAAACTAGCAGCGTTAGTGCTCGTTAGTGCCGCCAATATAAACGTTAGTTCTCAAAGTGTAACAGCTCAAAACGTTGTAAAAAGGGGTCTGCTAACTTCATGCAGTAGACCCACATTTGTCAAATTGGCCCTGTCCTAATGCGAATTTGAATTTGCTCGTTAGTGCTTCACATGCGAACGTTAGTGCTGTAAGGGATCCGCACCAAAAAGGTATCAAACCACCTCAAAATTAAACCTGGTTTATTGGGACCTGCCAACTTCACGCCAGTAGACCAACGAACGAAATTCGTTTGATTTTCTACTTTAATCGACCGTTAAGTATTAGTGCTCGTTAGTGCCGCCCAATATAAACGTTAGTGCTCAAAGTGTAATAGCTCAAAACGTTGTAAAAAGGGGTCTGCTAACTTCATGCAGCAGACGCACATTTGTCAATTTGGCCCTGTTCTAATGCGAATTTAAAGTGGCTTCACATTCGAACGTTAGTGCTGCAAGAGATCCTCGCCAAACAGGTACCAAACCACCTCAAAATTAAACGTGGCTTATTGGGACCTGCCAACTTCACGCCGATATACCAACAAACGAAATCCGTTTGGTCAATTTGACAAATGTGCGTCTGCTGCATGAAATTAGCAGACCCCTTTTTACAACGTTTTGAGCTGGTACACTTTGAGCACTAACGTTTATATTGGCGACACTAAAGAGCACTAATACTTACCGGTCGATTAAAGTAGAAAATCAAACGGATTTCGTTCATTGGGAATAAAGTTGGCAGGTCCCAATAAGTCAAGTTTAATTTTGAGGTGGTTTGGTACCTTTTTGATGCGGATCCCTTGCAGCACTAACGTTCGCATGTGAAGCACTAATGAGCACTAACGAGCCGCTTCAAATTCGCATTAGGACAGAGCCAATTTGACAAATGTGGGTCTGCTGCATGAAGTTAGCAGACCCCTTTTTACAACTTTTTGAGCTGTTACACTTTGAGCACTAACGTTTATATTGGCGGCACTAACAAGCACTAACGCTGCTAGTTTAACTAGTTTAAAGATTGAATCGATTTTCTCAAATGGGTCTGCTGGCATGAAGTTAGCAGGCCAACAAATATTTTTTAAAAATAGTAAGTTTCCTTTTGTGCACTAACGATTTCTTCAGCGGCACTAACGTGCACTAACGGAACACTAACGACATGAGTAAGCAGAACCATGGTCTGCTATAGTAGGCCTGCCAAGTTCATGGACATCACAACTTCCCCACTTATTAAGATCTTGATCACTTTAAATAAGTTGTCCTCAGTTAATGATATCGACTTTTTTCATGATCCCCTAAATTCAATAATACATAAAATTAGATATTAAGTCCTAATAGTTGTTCAGAGCCCCAGTGCCATGTAATTGGAATTTTTATTCTGTATGGTTTCTGGTTAAACAAATAAATAAATAAACGGGCAATGATATTCTCACTTACAACAAAAATGGGTTGGAGACGAAATAAAGGAAAAATGGTTGCATGCATATCCACTTGTCGTCGGATAACGTTTTTTTCTACGTTTTTTCTTCGACTAACAGTGCCTTTTGAATACAAAACGCCCCTTTTGCAAAACGGTCGATGGAAAAACTATTTAATACATGTCAAAAAGTATTCAGTTTTGTTAATAATAATCCAATAAACTTGTCAGTACAAGTAATATACGGAGTTCGGTTAAACACTCACTAACACGACTCTGGCAGATACTTCTTTTAAAAAATCAGTCTTAATACGCCAAAACTGGCTTGAGGACAAAAAACACTAAAATTTATGACTGCTCCGATTATAAGACTTCTCTTGTATTACAACAACTTTCTTCATTCATAAATGATAACACAACTTTCTAAACTCGAAATTCTTGCACAACGTTAAGCTTGCTCCGCATTACTTTGTTAACATGAAGACGACTACGTTTTTCTTCTTCTAAGGCGCATATTCGGCTAGACTACCGGTGAAAATTAGTGTCACAGACTTTACGACCTGTTTCAAAATAGAAACAACCCCGTTTATTGTTAATCCTTGCTATTTAAGAGAAAAAATCACTTCCAATAATAAATGCAACATCTTGTTCCCAGGCGTCGCTCGAAATTCCGCACCGTCGCGTCGCCCGATCTGATCGACACCTGCGTGGGTTACCTCGCACGTGGCATTGTTTATCCACAATCCAATTAAATTTTTGTCCGATCATAATACCTGGTCAGATAAACCATTTAACTCTCGTAAAATGTTCCCTTATTAATTATGCCGACTAAATGTGCAATAAGAAACTAACATTAAAATGGCAATTCAACAAAATTTTCCTTTGTGTGTCCATTTGAAATAAAAAGAAAACCACGTCTTACGAATTGCGCAGGATATATACCGTGTAAACGTATATGGTACGTCTGTTGAGCGGTTAGTTCTCTTTATATGTAATTTTTTTAATTTTGACATCACAACAAACAAAAGTCTATTAATAAACATCTGCCATCAATTTTAAAATAATATTAGAGACAGGCGTTTTTCGTTGTCTATTTGCTTGGTAGCATATACGAGTATTACGTAATTTTTCAAAAATTGTAAAATAAATTTTGGTCGGCAAAGGCTGTCAATATGAAATATCAAATGTATTAATTAAATGTATTGATGGCATACATTAATAAACCTTTTTGTTATGTTGTCAAAATTGCAAAAAATTACTTAAAAATAGAACTGACCGCTCAATAGACGTATCATATACATTTATACGCTAGTTCTAACCTATGTAAAAAGACAATTTATTTATTTATTTATTCATTGTTCCTCCCGCATAGTGCTTTTTAGTGGTGCCCTTGCAGAAGGTCTTAAGTTATTCTATACTACTCCGCTAACGTCTCTTTGGCCATTGTTAATTTTCATAACATTATATTTTGTTGTAAATTGTGGTACAACATGCGTCAAGTTTTTTGGAATTGGTAATTATTAACGTTCTATAAAAAATAGCGTTAATAAAAGCGTCTGCGTCACTCGGGATTCAATCACAGGTCTGGTGATATACATTTATATTGAAAATAACCTCTACGAGAAATAGTTCGTTTTACATATTATACTATTTTTTATTCCTATGTCCCACTAAAAAAGCCATGAACATTGCCATTAGAATCGCAACCGCGTGTTCTTATAGAAAAAGTTAAGATGAACATATTTTTTTAGAAATTTTTATCTGAGAAATAAGAAGAAAAATAACGACATGGAATTTTAGTTATACTATACTCCTAGTCGTGCATTAGTATTATATTTAAAGGTTCAGTATAATATTGTTGACGAAATCTTGTTTGTTCGATAAATCAAGGCAGTTCCCATATTTGGTATTTTAAAATACAATTCGAGATTCACACTTCACAAATTAAATTTATTTATTATTAATGTATGCAAATACTCAAATTAACAAACAATTCTTTGGTAAAGTGATGTGAAATTTAAGGTGGCTAAGATAATGTTAATGAAAACAGAAGAAAAATTCCATCAAGGGAATTTAAAAGCGTAACTATGTTACCATAAATAGTAATCGTAATATGAATCATCCCTTAAAGAAATCAACTGTTCATCACTCTTGTTTCTCTATAGTCTTCGCAAACGTAATGGATTGTCTTTTCCAAGTGTAAATGTACAAAGAACAAATCAGATCATAAGCCAGGATTATAGTAGAAAGGATACGGGCGGCGTTTTAAAAGACTAGTGACCAATGTGTATAAGAGTGATGACTGATGTGGGTGCTGAGTTACCGAGAGTACCATGATTGATTTATTTATTTCATGAATGACAGTGTTATTTAGAAGTCTCTAAAACCTACTCTGGTAGGTTAATTTTGAATATAGTTTCTAGCCTGTCTTAAAAGACATCAGTTCGGTTTTTTTTGTACTCAAAAGGGAAAGTATGCAGTTGAGTTAGTGTACAAAATTTCATGTTAAAAAAATTGGATTGCGCAAATGCCAAAGCTGAGTTGCGCATGGGCAAACTGTAATTTAAATTTTCTGAAAAAACAGCGTTGAGTTACATTAACGTGATACGTGTATAATTTTTCATTTTTGTGTTGAATATATCCGTTTTGGAAATATTATTCTTACGATTTCTATAATCTCTGTAGTCAATTTGTATTTCAATGTTATTGCAATTGGTTAGACCACCAACAATACACATCTCTAGACGATGTGTTCTTTGAGCGAAACCAACGATGTATCTCTATCCTTCCCAGTTTTGCATATTCTCCTCATTTATTGTTAAACACAATAGATCATGTATAATGATCAAGGACTAATTATAATAATACTTTATAATAATACTTTATTGCTCAAACAGAAAACATTCCAATGATAGAGCAACAATACAATTACAATTACAAGAGTGAAATTAAAATAATGTAACTAAAATAGTATACTTAAGTAAATTAATATTATAAACATACAAAATTTGTAAAAGTGCATTGAAAGATAATTAAATTCGATTAAATTGCGCAAAATAAACCAAAAATATATATAAATTATATTAAAACGTGCAAATGAACAACAGAGATACACAAGAGATATAAGTAATAGGAGTAATGAAAGAGAAAGATAAAATAAAAAATAAAATAAAAAATAAAAATAATATGTAATAATTATCTTAAAGAATTATTGAGCTTAGTAATGAGTTGGCGAAGTATTTCCGGTAGAGAGGTATATTGTATATCACAATCCTGGCAGACCATATTAAAATTACGAGACATGATTAATGTAGGGGCTTTACACAATATATTAGTTCTCGGAGTGCGGTAAGTGAAAGTTAGTGTAAGCCTGCTGTTGCGCTGAGGAACAGAAAAGTTTAGGTGTGCAAGGAGATTAGGAGAGTCTACAAGATTGTGCAATAAGCCCAATAAAAACTTAACACTGTTCACAATTCGGCGGCATTCCATCGACTGGACAGTATACCGGGATAGGAGAGATTGGTGTGGAAAGCCTCTTTCAGGATACGCGCCATCAAGCTTAAAAGAAACGTACTTCAAGAATCTGCGTTGTACTTGTTCAATAAGCTGTTTTTGCACATCGTACTGCGGGTACCAAACTATATCGCAATATTCTAATTTGGGTCTCACTAACGTAAAGTACAGGCGAAACAAAACCTGTGTATCCGTAAAAGATTTTGAATTTCTTATAATAAAACCTAATGTTTTAGATGCCGACGCACATACAGATTTGACATGTTCAGAAAATTGTAACTTCGAGTCAAAGATAACTCCAAGATCTTTTACTAATGAAGATCTAGACAAAGTAGTATCATTAATCGCGGATTGGTATAAAATGGGTTTGCGTTTTCTGCTGTACGCCACTACCTTACATTTGGGTATATTTAAATTGAGGGAATTGAGTTCACACCAACTACAAACCGAATTAATTTGCTGCTGTAAGGAAATACAATCGGCGATATTAGATATTTGTGTATATATTTCCAAATCGTCAGCAAAAAGGAGATGAGGTGTAGAGATTGAGTACGAAATGTTGTTTATAAATAGGAGAAATAAAAGAGGGCTCAGATTTGACCCCTGGGGTACCCCAGAGGATGCAATGAATGGATTAGACATGAATCCATTAAACGCGACAAATTGATGTCTGTTAGATAAGTACGACGAAAAGAAATTTAAGAGCGAATCAGATAAACCAAAAAGTTCTAACTTCCTAATTATAATTTGGTGATGGTGTTATGTAAACAAGTTTATCGAAAAGCTGTACAATATTTGACTGGAGACGCACAAATGCCTATTTCTTTTACCATTGAGTAAATTACTTATTCAATGCATTTACTGCATTTTTCTATAATAACACCTTCTGTAAATTACCTGGTTCTCAGGTTATTAGTGGACTAGATTAGCATTTTTGTTAACATATTTAATTACCCCTTTATTTCCTCTGATTTGTTCTAATCAATTTATAGATTTTTATAGTTATTAGATAGACATGTGCATGAATGAATTCACTTAGGTATGGTAAAACCTAATAAACCGGCACTTCGAACACCTAAAATAAATCTCTTTATTTTCTTATACAGGTATATTCCAGATATGCTTTTGTTTTTTTAAAAAATCCACAGTTTACTAGATATGAGCGAAAAACAGACTTAATGATTTTTTTTCTAAATGTTGTAGATGCAAAGAACAAAAATTATAGATTTTTTTCCGCTTACTAAGATACATTTATTAATATTTATACTTCTTTTATGATTTTCGAGTTATAACGTAATCTTACATTTTTTTAAATGGTAATCATAGTTGACTGTGGCATTTTTAAAAAGTGCATTTTTTCTGTTTACAATGATATAAGGTTCATTGTACTTACTTTGACAAATAAACATGATACAGAACTGTTTGTATTATTAAGAGTAGTAAAAACAGATTTTGCCATGGGAAACACATTTGTTCTCTGAATACTGTCTATTATAATATTTAACTTGCAGTTAGTTGTGCGACGGGGCACCGTTATGTTGAAACCAGCGTAAATTACGTCGTGTTTCCAAATCTAACCCATCCTACATATCTTGAAATTCATTTGGTAGAAAATGAAGATAACATTGGCTTGTCCAATTTTCGTCGTAAATGAAAGGTTGCTATCTCACTAGCTATTGCTTTCCATGGTCAACTCTGATTACTTACCTCTCAATACGAAAATTACTGCAGGGCGTTTATTTATTAAAGTACATTTAGCAAGCCTTACCTAAATCGTTATAAAGAGAAAAATTTGTCCTTTTTAAAAATGTCAAAGCCAACCATGACTATACCATTTAAAAAAATTAAAGTTTGTATTATAACTCAAAAATTGATTGTTGATCCTCTATTTTCTGAGAGGCAAACTCCGAGATGATATCAGTTCATATAAGTTGATGTGTGATACCATCATAAGAAAACGAGAAATCTCAAGAAACACAAAAATGAAAGTATACAAATCTATTTTTCGACCTATACTGACATATGGCTGCGAAGGATGGATACTGGACAATAGAACAAAGAGCAAAATACAATCTCTGGAAATGAAATATTTAAGGGCAGTGAAAGGTATAACTAGATGCGACAGAATCAGAAATTCGGACGTACGCGAAGAATTAGGAATTAAATCGATGACCGAATTTATTGAAAATAAACAACTTGGATGGTGGGGACATTTACAGAGGATGCACAATCAATCACAGGTTAAACAGGTGTGGGAAGCTAAACCACAAGGAAGAAAGCGAAAAGGTCGACCAAAGAAAACGTGGGATGAAGTGATTGCAGAGATAATTACAACAAGAGGATCAACCTGGAGGGAGGCAAAACAAACGGCGTTGGATAAGAAAGCTTGGTTCAAATTTATAAACGATTAATGCTTATTTAGATATTGTACTATATTTGTAGTATACCCCGTACACCGAAAGGTAAACACGGGTTTTTGATATATATATATATATAAGTTGATGTGAAGTTTGCGGGATTCCATCATACTCAAACGGAAAAAATAAATAGTTGAAATTTTTTAAAAGTGGGAGAATTTGTTTTACCCACCACTAATTACCGGGAAAACCCAAAATTTCGCCCATGTTTTGATACAAATATTCATTTTCGTGATGTCTCGCTATCTTGACTTGACATGAGCAAAGCAATGGCACTTTTTATAAATAAACTTATCAGTGTCGTCTATTAGTTATCGTATCCTGCTTAGAAATTTAGCTAAAAAGGGGAATTGGAACATTTTTTTGTAACAGTTAAAATGAACAAGTGCAATCGAATTTCTTTGAAATGGTAGGCTTAGAATGTGAAAACCGTGTTCTAATATTCTCAAGAATAAAAAAGGACATCAAATTTAGAAAACTACGCAGACTGTATTTACGTCGGTATCGTTTCTGTTATTGAATAGTATACCACGACGTTTCCTATGTTTATGTTCCGCTAATACGCGAAAAAATGCCTGTGCGCCATTTGTTATCTATTGGACTTTCTCGCCAATTTATTTGTAAAAATCGAAATTTGTTGTTAGGTACTTTATTTTTTTGATAAGCGGATATTTCTGATATCTGATCATATTGAAAAAATAAGTAACACTTGCATCTCTAATGCCCAGTTTCTCCAATGTATCTTAAGCTCTACTTGAATCTTAAGATCGCCTTAAATCTTAAGTCTATCTTAAAACGTTGCACCAACGCAAATCTGCATCTTATATTCACAAAGGCAGCCTTACATTTAAGTCGTGAAAATCTGCGACTTAAGTCGGCATTATTGTTAGTGAAGTTGAAAATGAGTGGCATTTTGTCTTTCAAACGTCACTTTTCAAAATGGAATTGATCGATGTCGATGATGTCGATGTGGTTGATATGGTAGACATAGTAGAAAATATTCGAATACCACGGCAAATTCACATTAGGAGAAATTTATTTAATATTTATTCTAATGTTGAATTTTTTCGACGATTTCGACTCGAAAAAGGGACTGCTTTATATTTATTGGAGAAAATAGAACATAGACTAGAGTACTTCCATAACAGGTAAGTACACATCATTCATAGGTTTGTTTCACGTTTGTATACTTACCTACATATAATGCTTTTTGTGACTATTGTATAGTGCGAATTCAAGGTGTACAATAATGTTTTTTGAAATTCAGGAATAATTCCATCAGTCCCATGAATCAACTTTTGCTAACGTTAAGAGCTTATGCCAGTGCAGGGCATTTTGTTGCTGTTGGAGACTTTGTGCATGCAGACAAGTCAACAGTATGTAAAATTGTTTCAAAAGTTTCAAGGCTCATAGCATCAATTGCAAGGGAATTTATATACATGCCTCGAAATGAAGTTGAAATTGCAAGTGCTCAGAATAAATTTTACGACATTGCTGGTTTCCCTAGAGTCATTGGGGCAATAGATGGATGTCATATAAAAATTCAATCACAAGGTACTTACTACACTATTTTTTTCACATTATTTTTAGTATTATACTTTACATTCGCTCATTTCTACAAATAAGAATTTAATTTAAAGGTGGAGCTGATGCTGAAATATATCGAAACAGAAAGGGATATTTCTCTGTAAATGTGCAAGCCGTTACAAGTGCTGACCTGTTATTCCAAGATATCGTCGCACGTTGGCCAGGTTCGACGCACGATACCACCATTTTTAGAAATTCACGATTAATGCATAGATTCAATAATGGAGACTTTGGAAATAGTATCTTGTTGGGTAAATAGCACTTTTTTCAATATTAATTTACAATCGCTACTTACTTTTTAGGAGATAGCGGTTATATGAATCTTTCATATCTATTTACACCTTTTCTGAATGTTCAGAACGATGGTGAAAGAAACTACAACAGAAGTCACGTTCAAAGTAGAGTCAAGGTAGAAAATCTATTTGGTGTTTGGAAAAGAAGATTTCCTATAATAGCGTATGGATGTAGAATGAAGCTAGAAAATGTACTTTGTGTTATTGTGGCTACAGCAGTTTTGCACAATTTGGCTCGTTTGAGGGGAGAACCAGAACCACCTATTGAAAATTTAATTATGGAACACGAGCTTCAGCAAGCAATTCGAGATGGAGATATTCCTTTAGCCGCCGAAGAAAATGATTTAGGCTATGATTATAGAAGACATTTAGTAGATATATATTTTTCTAGATTGTAATTTTCGTATTTTGCAAGTTTAAAGATAAATTATATTACATATTAACATACCTACTACAATAAACATTTTTTATTAAAATTGAAAATACGTACTTATACTTATTTAAATGAATTCATTCTTCGAAAAAATACTAGATTTATTTTATGGCAACATTTACTTGGAACAAGAGCACTTCCCAATTTCCTCTTCCATTAAGTAAATTTTTTTCTTGTGCTCAACTTCCATGGCATGTAACATTTTCTTGTGCTCCTTTTCTTGCAAAAGAATTTCTTTTTGAATTTGTAGTACTTCAATTTTAGCTCTTTCTGTAGGTCCCAGGTCTGCGTTAATTTTAGGTCTCCTTCGAGCAGACCAACGAGTGCCTCGTAAAAGTGTGGGCGTGGGCTCTTCGTAAGTAAGCAGAACGTTTTGATTGCACAGTTCAGTTTCATCATGTGTTTGTTCTAAAGGTGTAATCGAAGGTGTACTGGATGTACACGGTATTTCTATGTTAATTTCTTCTTGATTGGGCTTGGAAGATATCAAAATCGGCATTCCAAGAATATCCTCTGCTGGATGATCTAATATAGGTTCTACAAAATATAAAAATACTTGTATCTATGTGTGCCTCACTAAAAATATAATTAATGGAAATTCGAGTGTAAATTTTACCTTTCATTACATCAGAATCAAATTCATTTCTTAGACCAAGGACTGTCTTCTTATTTATTATATCCAAAACCAATTGTTCATTTGCTTCACAATTTTTCGAAGAAAGTGCAGGAGCAACTCCTCCACCAGTTTTGTAAAGCTCCTGCCTTTCTAGTGCCGCCTTTTTTCTTGAGTCCTGCTTCATATTGCTCCACTGCTTCCGTAAAGAATTGGCGTCACGAAAGACGTTGAAACACTTTTTATTAAAATTTTGCTCAATAATTTTCCAAACGTCATCTTTTTGATGGTTTGAAACGGCGTTTGTATCTTTATTTTCGATGATATTTTTATTTGAATCAACCAAATGAATTAATAGTTTTTTTTCTTCTTGAGTGTAATTCACTCTTTTTTTATTAGAATGCATGTTGGCCGATGTCTAACAAGTTCGGTGCACGGTTCGGTGGGGCAATGACGAGTAACTCACAGAATAAGGCCTTATTCTGTGGAGTAACTATCAAGTTTGACAGTTTGCAATTATTAGGTACCTACCTTCGGTAACGCGATTCATTAGTAAAATTGGCATTCATTTGATAAAATTCTGTGTTGCCAGATCGTTTCAGACAAATTCTGATGCTTAGCTAAGATGCGAACTTAAAATTTTGGTGCAACGTAATTTAATTTTAAGGACGCCTTACAATTAAGACCGCCTTGCCTAAGGTACAGCTTATATTTTGTTGGAGAAACCGGGCATAAGTCTCTACTCAGTAGTAGTATTTACGAATTGCGATATTGTGCTTCCCGCTTGTGTGGTGGTCATGCGTTCGTTCAAAAAATTAAAACGGTGCCACATTATTTTACACAAGAACAAATTTACGGCAAAAATCCTTCCATATTACTGGTACAGTCGTATTCCACCTAGCGGAAAACTAGGGAAAAATTGGGCTACTATTTGATACCTTCCTAAACAAATTTCTTGAAACATCCTGATCTACAGCATTCATGAACATTAGCTAATTATATAGTAATTTATCTAATCCATATCATTAGGAACGACATAACAATGTGCAGGATCATGCCAGGTAGTTTCTTTTGTTTTCCCTTTCAAGTAATGAGTTGTCGCCTCAGGAGTTACAGTGCAATTTGAGTTGCCTATACTTACGTTAGCGTTTTGATTTTTTTCTGAAGATCGCGATAATTATTTTTTAAAATATATGCATTATCATAATAGGTGGAAATAATATCTTAAGTACCGCCGTAGGAAATACTGTCGGATTTCCAAATTGGTGCTGTACGTTTTTCTACTCCCATTACAACAACTGTTATTTACGAAAAACGATTTTTCTATTCATCGATCTTCCTAAAAAACTAAGACCGATATTTCAATTTTTTTAATTACCGCCCTTCTTTTCATCATTGCAAATAATATCCACTATCGAGAATTTGTTAGACTGCAACTACAAAAGCAGCATTTCATAAGAACGTTTAGCTATTTTTTCCAATATGGCGGATTGACTACAGAGGAGCCTTCCTCGTAGCCTTCCCATAGTTGTAATTACGGTCTCCATGGCTAAGTAAATTCAAAATCAAATCAAGGTCAACCTCCGTTAACGACAAAATAGTTTGAATTGCTTTGGGCATTGTGTAAATATGGGTTCCACATATCTGCACGATAACCGATTCGTATTTTGGCATTCATGTCGATCACGTAGATTTTAGAGTCGGATTCGAGTACAGTAAAACAAAGTTTCGTAAATCTGTCAAAAAATAGCATCAAAAACCAAGTGACGATTACTATACATTCACCTTCGCTTACGTAATTTCAGTTCCAGTTTATGAAATACTTACGTGCGTTCATTGTGAACAAGCACCTTATTATCATTTCCAAGGTAAATTAGTGTTCACCTGGGATGGGAATAATTTTATCAGTAGATATCTAAATAGATTAATAGCCTTCATGACGTCGTACTAATTGAATTAATAAGTCTAATTACGCACTGGGTTTAATAATTATCATCTCTTGCGTGGGGAGTAACTGTTCTTCCAAACTTATAAATGCGCTACGATGGTGGATGCAACAGTTGTACTACTGAACATGATCATTCTTGTAGCAGTCGCTCTATCATACTTCTTTGCAACACCAGAAGCGAGAACTGTACGTGTTGAGTATGTGAAGGTTTATAATAACAATTCTTGTAGGTACCACCCGATTTAGTGGAACATTGGAGGGAGATGGTGTTACCCTATCATAAACTTTGTTTAAACGAAACGCACGACAATCCCGAACCTATCATCCATATGCTGGCCGAGTTCACACTTCCTGAAGAAAAAGTAATACATTGCTATTGGAAGTGCTTTCATGAGCACATTAAATTTGTGGTCAACGGGAAAATGGATGTCGATCTAATGGTGAAGACGGTATACAAGTTAACACCAGAGTTGGCAGAAAGGTGTGTGGAACAAGCAGAACGGGAGGAAGAACCTTGTCAACGATCGTACATACTTGTACAGTGTGTAGTTATGAATGAGGTGGACTGAAGAGAATGATTCGGTCATATTTCTGACGTAATTATTAGTTACAAGATGAACTTACAAAAAAATATTGTGAATTTTCTACATAATTATTTATTTATTTACTATCCCTCTCTTGTTCTGGGCCCTCAACAGGCTTACGCCCAATTACAGAGTGACCCGCATAATGCTTTTTAGAGGTGCCTCTGCAGAAGGTCTTAAGTTGTTCTATAGTGTAACGTGCGTGCGTATAGTAGAAAGGCAGGTATAAGACTCTTTATTGAGTATGGAAAATACAAGTGATAAAATTCAACCTTCATTCTAATATCTAACCCAACACCCTTATCCTTAATTTTAAAGTAGAAAAATTATATACCTAAATTAAACTTATTTCCTAGGTCTTAAATAATATCGTTTACCTTCCGTAACCGAGCTTTCTGCAACACAGGGTGTTTGATTTATGTCAGTCAGGTTACTAGAAGACGAATGTTCAGTTTCTGGTTCAGGAAGGGCCAATGAATCACGAATCTTTAAAGGGATGATTTGATCAATATGTCTTTTAAAATTTTCTTTCGATTGTGAAGCAACTTCAAAAACTGAACTCCCTTTTTGCGTTTCTATTGTACCTTCCTGCCAGGATGGTTTTAAAGGATTAGAAAAATCTCTAAAAAGTACATTATCTCCAATTTCTACCCTCTTATCTTTACCTCCATAATTACGAATTTGCCGTTGTTGATTGCTCTGTACAATATCTGCCGTGTAAGGCCTCACTAAATCTAAACGAGTACGCAAGCGACGACCAAACATTAATTCTGCAGGTGACTTGTTTGTGGTTGAGTGTAACGAATTTCTATAATCGAAAAGAAATTTTTGTAATCCGAAATCGTAACTTTTGTTTTCGTGTAAACATTTTTTGAAATATTGCTTAACTAATTTAACAGAATTTTCTGCTTGGCCATTGCTACTTGGATGATATGGTGCAGTTAAAATATGAGTAATTCCATTACAATGAAAATAATTATGAAGTTCGACGGAATTAAATGGCGGGCCATTATCACTACAAACAAATTTAGGTAATCCAAATCTAGCAAATATGGATCTAAGTGCCTCGATGGTTTTTTCTGCAGTCGTCAAATTCATTTTTAAAACTTCGAGCCACTTAGTATGTGCATCAGTAATTACCAAATATTTACTACCTTTAAATGGACCTAAAAAATCTAGATGAATACGTTCCCACGCATTTTGAGGCCATTTCCAGATGTGTAGTTCGGTTTTTTGAGGTAGTGGACGAACAGAGTTGCATGCTGCGCAGTTTCTGCATAAATCTTCTATCTCGTCATCGATGATAGGCCACCAAACGTAAGATCTTGCCAAAGATTTGCATTTATTAACTCCGAAATGGCTACTGTGGAGTTCTTTCAATATGGAAGATTGTAATATTACTCCGGTATTTACCTTACGAATTAGGAAAACTGCCGCAATCGGGATTTCACGCTATTCTCCTTCTACCTCTTGCATAGTTTCCTTTTTCTCCTGCTTTTCTTGTAGTAGGTAACTTGACAAAATGTTTTCATTCCTCCAATTGAATTTCCCTCTCACTTGTTCTTCTCTCTCTGTTTATCACCTTTATCACCAGAACATCTCCTGACTACAATACTTCGGAAGCCTTATAAATCTGGCGGTCCCGGCAGTCGTATCACTGTTGATGCGACCTGAAAACGTCTGTACCTAGGAAGTGCCACCCATACGATATGATACCTACCATACGATTCCTTTTTTTGTTTTATTTTCCCTGTTTTGCTCTTCATATGCTTTGTTTTTGTTCTCTCACCTCTTTCTTCTTTATTTCCCTCTTTTTTCTTTCTTCATCATTTATGTCTCTCTTCTGTACTCTCTTTGCCCAGCCCCTGGCCCAGCCACTCCTTTCATTTTCTCTTCCCTCCCTTTCAGTTACTTTCTCCCAATTTTTTTCTTCTATCAATGATTCTACCATCCTCATGTATTCAATAAGCAAAACTCACTACGGTCCCAAAAACGCTAATACATTTGGACATTGAGTGGGAAGATTCTTGTAAAAAAACTCTAAAGCTATATGCAGTAAATCTAATTCTAAAATTAATCTTTCCAGTGTCTCATTAAAAAGTATATGTTTTACGATTTTTCTCCTGGAGTTGCGGCGATCCCATAGAAATTATCTAGATTCTGGATCCCCTAGGAAGTTCGTGTTCGTGAAATAAGAATGGACAATGTTCCACAAAATGTAGATAGATTTGCCTTACGTTCATCTCCTCCTACGTCCCCAGCCTTTCTGTAGTCAACTAGTCAAGGTGCGAATTGGTTGATAATAGCATTAATTCAACGTTTCTTAACTTTACGCGGTTGGTAATAAGTATTATAGTCGTATTATGTTTTATATCGGACGATACTACTATATTTTCACTTTGGGAAATTGTGCATGTAAACAAAACAAAATAAATCTCCCCCACCAGATTTTTGCTCAAAAACCTCGCTGAATCCAAATGCGAAACGGACCTATTAACTTTATCTTTACATACATTTTAATTGGTAAACACATGAGCGTGAGTCTACACCCCCAATTTACCTACTTATAGCTGACAATCCAGTAGTAGGGACCAAAAAATAATAGGCAACACAACAACCCTTATATCTCATACTCTTCTTTTATATTATTGATTTCATTTGGTTTACAGATGAGCGTAAAAGTTAAAGAATATTAATTAGGTTCATTTTAATTAAGGGTAGCCTTGACTTAATTTTATTTGCAATATGTTTGTTTACATATTAGTATTGCTAAAAAATAATTTTACTCGGTAAACAGATGGGCGAAGGTTGATCTATGTGGGATCTTAGACTATAAATAATATTGCAATGCAACAAAAACGTCTCCGATAGTGGGTTCACTGGTCGGCTGAGATCATTTAACCAGGAGTACTTTAACGGTTTTTCTACGGCCATCTCTAGCCTATAGTTCTGCCACTGTTTGATGCTTTCATGTCTACTAGGTAAGTTCGAAGGAGAATGATCCTTTGGACTATTACAAAACTGTTCAGTATACGAACCTGTATGTGTAAGTATTAAATGCTAATGAGTGTAATCCATTCCCATTGCAACATACTCAAATGTACTCGTAATAATTAACCGATTTAGTAGGAGCAAATGCGAATTGAACGTCATTGTTTTATTGGTAAGCGACCCGAACGTTCTTACAGTTACAATGCTGATTATTAGTGTTATCCTGCTGGGCTTCTTTATTCCTGCAATGAATTCTCAAGAGGTTAGTATACATTATGCCCACATCTGAAAACGCTATCATTATGTTTAAATTAAGATTTCGCAATACATTCAAGATGTTTGGAGAAACGTGACGCTACCACATCACGATGCTTGTGTTATTGAATCACAGATTGATCCTCTAATAGCCGAAACCTGGCTTCGAGATTTTCATATGCCCGACGACGACTATTTCGGTTGCTTTTTGAAGTGTCTCTACTCAAGTTTGAATTTTATGAGATCGGATGGAACATTCGATCAGCACGAGATAGTCGATGTAGCTCACTATATGGACCACGATATGGCCGAGATGTGTTTGGAGAACATCGACGTTGAAGAGAATCTCTGCAAAAAATCTTACAACTTGTGCTGGTGTGTTGTACATGCGTTAGCCGAATGGCCAGAAGAATATTAGTTTTTTGGAAGTCAACTTAGAGTAATAAATAAGTTTTTTCTCATATTGGTATTTTATTTATTATGGAGTTTAGACACTGACTAATCGCGAAGGTCTTGGAAATATGTACCTACACAAAATTTGGTACATTGAATTATTTTGTGCCTGCTTTGTAGTGCTGTGTTGTGTATATCTTCAAATTTTTCACATGGAACATTTTTGTTCTTATTTTATTACAACCTTTTTTCTTGCTGGTTCAAATTCGTGTTACTGTAAACCCAAAATTGCATGTTTATGGTAAATAAGTCTTCCCAGAGAATGTTACAGTTTGTTTATTTGCCTCCGTTAGTTCATTAATTTGAACTACATCCTAAAGTCACTTCAAAAATTAAGGATGTGGTTTAAAGGTTACCTAAAAACACTAAATACAATACATGGTTTGTTTTTTGCATTCAGTATGCAAAACAATTAAATTGTTAAATAATGACCCTTGCATTGGGAAAAGCACTTTTTAGTACTTTGTATTTTTATTTTATTTCTAAATCATTTCTATTTTCAGCGCATTTTTTAGGAATTAAAAAAATGTGCCATTGTTTGCGTTTTGTCCGTCCGTCCAGACCTACTTCTACCGTTTCGAACTACTTCTAGGGGAATGGTCCTAGAATCCTGGAATTTTTTGCAGTAGGTAGCCTATACCTTGAAGGTGTGCCAGACGGCCATCAAATTTCGCTGTCTAAAAGGGGGGCCTCCCCACAAATTATTTCCTGAGATGCTGTTTTTTAAAGTAAAGTTGTTATATCCTTCATGGTACTCTAATGAAAGGTCTCAACGAAAGGAATTAATTTCTACCAACCATAGCCCTCCTCCTCGACCTCTTATCGTGATCGGGTATATTCCCTTATACTTCAAGAACGGATTGTCGGAAGAGGGTACTCACAAAGGGCGATTGAGACGTCTGCACCATTGGTGATGTCAAAACAAAAGCTATTTCGGTTTTAAAAAATACGCTTTATCTGCACAAGAGTTGTGTATAATGTATACTTGTTTACTGTTATTAATGATGGATATTTTTCAATCCAACTGTCATTCTTTGCTATAAAAACAAAACCCACCTTCAGTTACTGGTCACTCAAATGATTATAGAATCATCTTCATCCTCACATTGCACATTGTGTACAGTAGTGCGGCGGTTGCTTATAGAGGAGCCAAATCTCATAAATAAATAGTTGCTAAACCCGACTAGCTCTTTAGGGGTAGTAAAAAAAAACTACTTTATTCCACTGCCATTTTTGTTATATCCACTTGACGCCCAAAAGTTGTCGGTTACGTTACAAATAGTTCTTTAATTATTTTTGAATCAGGCCAAAATCGTTTTTATTATTGCAACGGGTTCGCATATAAAGGGGGGTGGACCCTCCCTTCTTTGGAATAAAATTTTAACTTTCTAAGCTTGTTCGTAAAGTTTCGAATATATTGGCGTAAATCAAAAAATGAAATAGTTCCAATTTTCAATTCCCATTTACGATTTTCACTAGTAAATTCATCCCAACTAGATCAATTGTTGTGGCCACGACCTTTGTGAATTACCCCTAACTTAATGCAAAACCTGTCAACAATATACGGCACAATTTTTTATACACAAATTACCATGAGTTTCGAGATTTAACTCGAGATAACTAACTTTAAATGAAAACTGAATTTTTCTATCAAATTCAATTCAAATGGGTCCATAAATGGTAAAAATACCTAACGGCTTCAAATTTGGTTGATATCTTTCAGAAAACACATACAATTTGCGATGATCTTTCTTAAAGATAGGCAACGTTTAATTTTACATAAAAATAAAATAACGGTACCTCATATAAAACTGGCCTTCTGCAGGTGACGATGATAAAAAATAGGCAACGACGCTGATTCGGAAAATTAAAGAATAAAACTGTACATTGGAGCTTCCGTTCAGCGAAATTCATTGGTAAATTTTTCGGTGAAGCAAATGTTTTCTGCGCGTAGATTTTTGACCGGTTAGTTCCTGTGTTTATCCTTTTTTTTTGTTATTGTTGCATACGCGCCGAAGCAACTGGCCCCTTTGTAGTGAACAAAACACCGGCACGTTTAATTGATTTGTCCTTCACTATAAAAAAATACGTTCGAATTAATTCATCCTTGATGTTACACACAATTCCGTGAAACCCGCGTAGGTACGTATTAAACTGGATAAAGAAAGAAACTTCAATGACAATTCAACTCATGTATAAAAAATCGCATAAGCCGCAGTGAAATTGTCACTTTGACAGCGGCAAAAGTTACCTGCAACTTTTCCAGCGACAAATGCACTAGTGGTTTTTTCACTTATTCATTTTCGAACCAATTATCGCATTCCTTTCCCATATGACTAGTTTGACGTCTGTCAATAATTGATTAATTTGGTGAATTTCTTGTTCGTTAAATTGTCCTACCGAATTACACTCGAGGTTTGTATTTAAACCGAGTAAATTTGGGTTGTGGCAATTCAAATCTGTTTCCTTTTAGCAATTGGACTCGAAAAACTGTCAACCTAAAAATGCTCCTCCTGCGGTGTCGCATTTTTATTAGTTGACAGTTTTTCTCGTCTAATTACTAGGTAACAGATTTTCATTACCTAAACAACCCAAATTTACTCGGTAAAATACAAACCTCTTGTGCAATTATAAGTGAATAATTTTTTGAGTTTTATACCCAATCAAATTTTTTATTCGGTCAGTCAACTGCACCTGGCAATGTGCCCATGCAAATAGCTGACTTTGGGGCCCAACCCCTACGGTGTAGCAGTATGCGCCTTAGATCCATGTTCACTTATAGAGAAATATATGGACTGGTGCAGAATCACACTCTCCATTATCATGTTCTACAACTATATCCACAGGCTAACTTATTTTTCATGAATGGAATCTATCAGAACCGTCATGGACTCTCTTACGCGTGTTATTCTGAGCTAATCTTCAAAGTGTCAATACTTACTACAGTCCCTTGAAATTGTATGGGTCAAAGGCACACTGGTACAAAGTACTACACCAAGAAAATTAACCTCAAAATCATTTCTGAACAAACTACAAAAGTTTTCCGTGCTTCGAAGTCTGACAAAAGTAAAACTATTCGATTAAATAAAATCAAATCTGAGTATGTTGCCAATTGAACCTTTCGTAGCCCGCATTTAAAATTACATTTCTAATTTCTGGTGCTGTTAAAAACCCTTTTATGGCATCCTGTTTTCCGAAATGCAAACACATTCTCGTGGACCATTACACAAGCTGATGAATAAATAGGTTGACATTTTTACATTAAATAGAGAATTAAATTGTAATGATACTGCTCAAGCACACGATCATAAAAAATTAACGATTGAGTGTCAGAAAGTGCAAGTATAAAAGTGAAAAGCCGTGGCATCGTTTGTGATTCGAACGAACGTTGTTACAATGAGGTTCATTATTTTTCTACTGTACATTTTTATAGTGAAATCTCATTCGCAGAGGGTTTGTATTTTTTTATTAATGTGTTCTCAGCTGAAAATATTTAACATCTTTTCTTTAGATTCCAGAAGACATTCAAGTGGCTTGGAAAATCATCACGAAACCTTATCACAATGCGTGTGTGATGGAATCACACATCGATCCGTATCTAGCGGAAAACTGGGTGCGTGATTTTCACATGCCAGACACGCCAGCGTTCGGGTGCTTTATAAAGTGTCTTTATCTAAATCTGAATTTTATGAAGCCAGATGGAGCCTTCGATGTACACGAAATGGTAGATGTAGCTCATTATATGCCCCATGATTTGGCGCGAATATGTTTGAAGGACATAGACGTTGAGAAGAATCACTGCAAAAGATCATATAAGTTGGGCACATGCATCGTGAATTCATTAGTCGTATAGCTAGATGGTGAACACGTAAAGTTATTACAATTACAATCTTTAATATTTGTTTATATGGCTCGGGCAAACGTCAGATAAGCCACAATTATGTCCACACATAGGTATGACTTATTTTTGGTTACTTATTAACACATACTTCGACCATTTAAACCTGGACTGCTAGCGTCGTATAATATTTAATATAAAAATTGAAGCCAACATCTGCAGCGCCATCACTGGGTATGACTAAAATGAGAACTAAATCCGAGGCGCTAAATATGAAATTTGGAAGAACAAGTATATCCGCACAACATATTTATACGATAACTGTTTAACTTTATACTTGATGAATTAATTTATATAATAAATAAATTTGAAGTAGCTATAATTTTTGAATAATAATACCGTGGAATAAGCTCTTATTTAACAAATGTACATGTTTATTGCAGCACTACCAAAAAACCAAACCTTCTTAGTATCTTCCTGATTGTTTTTATTTTAAAAACAATAAATTTTGATGAAGCGCCATTTTAGCTGGGATAACAGTCGTGAGCGAAGAAGTAAACAGAATAAGATACACATGCAGGATAATATTTCACATCGATCTCAATATAAAAATAAAAGATGGGGGAGGGGCTTCTCGTGCCCTTACTGTATTGTACATGACTTCGAATTCTTAAAAAATTTTCAATTGCTGTATACAGGGTGGTGTTTTTAAGTAGACCATTAGAAGTATCTCATTAACGGTTTGGAATTTTGATTCGAAACTCATTACGTTTTATGAATAATCGATCAAAAGGAATCATTTAAAAATATTTTCAAACGGCCGCTTTTCCGGTTGTATCAGAACGATACCGGAACTTTCTTATTTCAAATGGCACTATCTTTTCTAATGGTATTTTTGAATTCCGAAAAAAATTAGTATGATTTTGTTAATATGATGCTATGTCTGACCGATATGGTTTCGAAGTTATTTGACATTTTTAACATTTTTTCACAGTTTCATAGGTTCAGTAAATTAGCCATATCATCTGACAACTTATAGCAAAATGTTTTTTTTACGAATCGACAGCTGAAAGTCCACGCTATCATATCCTATTGGTCTGATTTTCAAATATACCTAAAAAATATAAACAGTAAATGACTAAAGAGTATACTACTACACAGGTACACAAAAGTAAAGTAAACACACAGTTAAGTAAATGAATATATCATTAAAATGATTGAATAGTTTTCCAAGGCGTATGTAAATATTCAGTTACGTTATAAAAAGAATGGCTTAAGTGTGCCTTAACTACTCTTTCAAATTAAAAAAAATTGTAAGGTTTGATACAATCAGGAACGATACTGTATAAGTCGACCCTTATACTGTTATTTGATGACTTTGAAATTGTATCTTCAAGAACGGCACTTTTAAATTAAAATACCAGGAACACGGAGCTATGAAATACACTGAAAAAGGGTGATTGACATCGTATAAGGATACTGTGTTGGTGCCTTAAAATGTGTTGAGAATTTATCACCTTTCAGTTATTTTGGACACTTAAAATAGATCTGAGGTTTTTATGGTAAATAACACATGATATGGGTTACTCTTATTTCGAAAACAAGATTCTGAAATCTCATTATTACGTTTATTCGGCGTGCGTCACGTATAACATTCCGCAATTTGGATTCAATTTCGGTTTCTTCCCACTCGTACTAACAAATTGACAAATATAATATTACGATATTTCTTCAATTTTTTTTATAACATGTTAGACCCACTACTAAGTTCCTTCCATTTATTTCGTAGTCCAATTGATTTTATCCTTGATTCATTTTGAGATTTATACGGCATATTATGTTGATAACCGCTTTTAACAATTGACGACAATTTTCCACTTGTTTATTTTTAATTCATTGACAGTTTATGCTTAAATTGCCTTTAACAAACCCTGCAGCTAACCTCTAAAACAAAATTTCCTTCTCCTTTTAATGTTATGTAGATTTCTAGAAAATTCGGACCTACAAGTGTATGGCTGGCAATCGTCAATTGCTTTGTGTACACCAAATATTTTTATTTCGTAGATGAGCTATGCCTAATTAACAATCTATTTAACCAACCCTGCAGTTATCTAAAAACAAATTTATTTCTCGTTTTAAACTTACTTAATTTTATAGATCATTCACAGTTACATGTATAGCAATATTCGAATACCGGGGTTGTAGCTTTGATAGATTATATTGAAAAGACCTATAAACACCCCCCTCCCCTTCAAACCCCAACTGTATTATAATAGAAAAACTAAAAATTATGTTAATTTTTTTTAACTATTTTTAAAACAGTCCTATCCGCCAATCCTAAAAAATGAAAAATTGAAATAGGCCGATGTCATTAAAATTACGCTGACTATTCAATTCATCTGACATTTCTCCCACTTCGACCAGTGAAATGTCGCGAATTTTATATAAACCGGAATATTCTTCTTAATCTCTTAGTTTAAACTAAGAGAAAAAATGATTAATCATTCATAACCAATTAGCTTGGAGCACAAAAGTTCGAATAGAATCAGTACCTAGCAAAATGAAAAGCAAATTCCGTAGTTTATTTTTACATTTATGGTCGTCATGGAAATAATGTTATAGGTTTTGGGATGATTACGTATTCGCGTGGGTAATAACGCTTCAAGCTTCTTTTGATCATTTAATAGTGCTTCGAATACCATTCGTAGTCGAACTATTTGTAAATTATTTTTGAGGTGCTGCTCCACTCACGCTCATTACTCGCGCAAGTCCTCGTAGTATTTTATAACATTCGTGCCAACACCTCAAAAATAATCGATAGTACTTCGACTACTCATGGTATTATAATTATTATTATATATATGACAACTCAACTCATATATGATGTAACCAATAGCATGCTATTACTTTATAAATACCAACCAATGAGGATCAAATTAGGTGGAAATACCACTAACGGAGTTTCCAAATTTGAAATACCACTCGGAAGATTTCAAAAATTTCCGGAAACTGCAAATCCACTCGTTGTATATATGTATACCTATTAAATTAAAATAACTGGGGGCCGGTTGCACAAAGGCAGTTAAGACATATGATTAGATTCCCGAGAAATTTTGGTGCAGTCGATTTTTGGTAAAAAAGGAAGGTTATACACTGCCTTTTTTTTGAGGCCCGAAAAAAAAATTGTCTCAGATCGACCCGGAAAAAAATTTTCTTATAGAATGCGGCCTGTAGAATCCATGATTTCAAACAGTTCCAAGATTGGGCTACTAGTTCAAAAGTTACAGCCCTTTGAATTTTCTTTCGAAATTGGTTTCTAGTCTATAACTTTTGATTGAGAAGCCTGATCGAAAAAGTACGAATTGTTTTGGATATTACGCACCAAAATTAATAGGAAAAAGTGTTTTCCCGAGAAATTTTGATGCAGTCGTTTTTTGGTAAAAAAGGAAGGTTATACACTGTCTTTGTTTTGGAAAATAATCATCAAGATAGATATATAACATGCGCTTAATCAACCTACTCGCGGTGGAGGAGGGGGTACAACACAAAATTGGACCAATAGGGCTTCCGGCAAGATTCAAATTATTAATCTACAAGCTTTTCAGAACTTGGATTAACTGGCAGAATGCGGTCCTCGGATTTTGCATACTTAAATCCATCCAGCGCCTGCACTATATTACTAAAAACAGAATTGGAAAATTCGAAACCGTTAGTAAGTTATCGTGTCCACAGACGGACGGACGGGCGGGGGACAGACAGATGGACGGACGGACGGACAGAAAGTTCAAAAACATAAACTCGCTTTTTGTCGCTCGTTAATAATTGTAAGAAAATCTTAGTACTCTCTTTACGGCATAAAATAATTCGAACAGTTTCGTTTTGGTAAAATTGTTATTTTGAACGGTTATTGATTTCAAGAAACCTGCCAATTATTTGGCATATTTTGGATTGTTTGTTCGAGAAGCTAAATTTCTAGTTAAGAATTTTAACAAAGTGTCCATATGTAAGTGTAGGTCGAATGTAGATATATTCCCACGAAGTTTTCGTTACGTCGAGAACTACATATTTCTATTTCTCATATCAGAAACGTAATCGAATTTTTGATGATCCTTACTTTTTTAAATAATTACCGTTCATATCAATCATACTATAATGTCATGTCGAACTTAAAAGTAACCTTCTGCTTTAACATCGTTTTAATAATTACCGTTCCATGATTGATGCTGCCTTTTCCCGTATATACATAACAATCGCTTTTTAGGTCTATGAATTCAAAATTAACCCCAGACTTTACACGCACTCCTTAGTGAAAAGGGCACGCCGCATTGTGCGTTGAGAAAATTGTACTTATTGACAGCATGCTGTTAAATTATTCATCCCCTATTGCAGTTCACTAAAAGGACCGAATTCTAGAAACCTATACCGTCACGTGGTATAGTCCCCTTATTTTTCAAGGGATAGTATGATTCCCTTTTTTTTGTTTACTTCCCACTAGAGGTCGTAACCACATTCAAATATAATAGAAAACGACGTACAAATTCAGAATGTTGTATAGTATAGGTACGTAATTAAAAAGTAGTATCGATCACAGTTCGAAACGCTAAGGATTAGTCAATTACAAGGCGCTTTCTCCGCAAAAAAAACACACCCTCTCTAAAAGGGTTACGCTAACAAAAACGTTTTACTTTCCTTTTATATGGCAGGTATAACGGTTGAAATAAAGTTCAGAATTCCGAGAAAGAAATATGTGACTTAACATTCTGTAAAATTCAAAAATCTGCAGTCGTCGAACTTAATTTTATGGTATTGAAATGTTTTTCACAGAAAATCCTTGCAAAGGGTAAACTAACTAAAATGGCTTTACAACCCCTTGTCTGGCCTCATAAATATTCATAAATTTTGGCATTTTTACATTATTTACGTAGCTGAAGGTTGTGTGGCCATTGAAGATAATATGATTTATTATGCCTTGCAAATTCGGAAATTAGCTTGTGAGAACAGGAAAAAAACGTTAACTGTGCTTTTATGTTTTGCACGTGAATATAAGAATTGTAAACATTTCGAAAAGTGTTATTATACCATATGCAATACTTAGCAATTGAGCAGCCCCTATCTTCATCGACAGTTTTAGTTACGAATAATAATAACAATAATATAATAATAATATTTATTTCTGTTAGCATGCCAATAAAGCATTCACAGAAGAAGGAATTTTAACCAGAATACAGCAATTATTCCCCCTGCAATTTCACGTACCTAATTCAGTAGTTGTCATATTGGTAACTAACCCCGCAAAGCTCACCGGT